TTTTTCCGAAATTTTTTATCAAAAAATTATACTAAATTTCGTTCGAAACTAATGAAAATCTGTCAATTTGATCAAAATTGAGCAGGTTTTTCAAAAAAAAAAATTGTTTTCAACAAAATGTTGTTAAATTGAGTAATTTCCTAAATAATTTTCACTGAAGGCGTTTGAAATTGTTTCAATTTCAAGACATATTTTGAATGCGGTCATGTTTAGCGCGGACCCTACTATTTTTCCGAGCCTCTCTCGGTGGGCCCTTCTATTAGAGGGGCCCTTCTATTGAAGGGACTCTTTCAATATAGGTTTTACGGTAGTATAGTAATCATATATTCCGATAAATTGGATGGTTTTGAAATTTCTGCTCCGTGAAGTTCAATTGTTCTAATCACAGTCCCAAATAACAAAGTTTTCTCGGGAGAAAACCTAATTTGTGGACTTTGTCACATCAACTGTTTTTTACCAAAAGCACATTCCCCGTTTGACCTGACGGTGTGTTTCTCTTAAAAATGAACTGATTTTTCGAACGTCTATTGAATTTTCGTTACTAATCAAACCATCGATTTTTCAGATGCGTTCAATGTTGCGTTGCAGAGGATTGTGCATTCTTCTGTTTGTCATAGTCATCTGTTCATATAGGAGCCCTTCTATTTTCCCGGTCATTTTTTATCTAAACAATTACTGAAAAAGTATGGAAATTTGTGATTTCAAAAACACATTTTGGAGAAGGCCCTTTTATAAAAGGGCTCTTCTAATACAGGTTTTACTGTATATTGGAAAAAAGAATGGATTTCAAAACATGTATAACTATAAACATCTTTAGTACAACGTCACTACTTAATTTCAAATAATAATTAATCGAACCCATAAGCTCAAATGATTATAAACACAGTATTGAAAAAGTAAAATGTGTGAAAACCGACGAATTCAAAAATTTACTTTTCTTTTTTTTTCTCTTCTTCTTCTTCCTTTTTTTCCTTTAACATCTTAAATGAGTCCGGCCCGTTTGAGAAACCGGAAAGAAGAGAAGAATAAAAAACTATTCAGTGTTTTGTTTTCTCTTCGAGCTTGATTCCATTGAAGAGCTGTTCAATGTCCTTCCTTTTCAAATGTTCCTTTAAAGAAAATGCAATCATGTTGAGAGTGGGGAAAAGGAAATTTAAATTTTTGAATGTCCTTTCGGAGAATTTATAAGATAGATCGGACCAGAATAGTTTTTTGAAAATCTAAAAAAACACACATTTTTAAAAAATTATTTTCGTCAAAAAAAAAGAAACATATTCCATAAAAAAACGGAAAACGAAAAGGTTAGCTAACCTATACGTACATATGCACATAAGAAAAAGAGAAGTTTTGCTTTCCGTTTCTTTTCCGCATACAACAGCAAGTGTGTAGGAGTCCTCACCTCTTTGAAACTAAACAACCAATACGTGTGCATATGTTTTTTGGGGCACATCAAAAACAGAAAAAAACAGGGAATAGAAGACTAAAAAAACCCCCGTATATGCAGGAGCATTCCTCGTTTTTTTCCTGTTATTTCTTTGAAAAAATGAGAAAAAAGCAACGAAGACACAAAAAAAGTGTCACTGAGACATATGCATAAGCATAATTTGGGATGTTATGTATCGTTTGTTTGGGAGTCTATTGCCGCACACGTCTTCTACTTCTCAGTGCTTTTTTTTTCTGGCTCGTTATAGTCAACTACTATTTCCACTACTCCATGACCTATTATCGTTGTTTTGTCGCTTCTTTTTTTCTTCGAGATTCCCCCCTCTTCTCCAAATATTCTCACGCTTTCATCTTTTTTCTTCTATCTTCTTCCACTCGTTTTTTGCACATTTTCTTCTCGTCTCACTTTGAATCAGGACTTTTCTAACTTTTTGTCTGGACATCTGGTATTTTATGTGCTGAATGGTTTTTGTTGAGAATATGTATCTGATCATATATCTCAGAAATATATAATCAAATGGTTTTGAATATTTTGTCAAAAAATTATTTTCGACAAAACTGAAAAAGTTTTGTTCTCAAAATTGTAATCTTTGCATCAATTTGTATAATAATTACTTCAATTTGTGGTATTGACTAGGTAACTATCATGTCCCAAGTATTAGCTTCGTTATTAGAATATTCAAAAAGCGTCTCACAAAAATCTTCAGTACTTTCTGAAAACAAGAAACTAGGTTTTCAAAGAAAAGATTTGACGATTACCGTTTTCAAACTTTTTTTGAAATTGTTTGTTTTCAGTTATTTTAAAAGTTAACAATCATTTTCTAAAATGGAAGATTTGAGATAATCGATTTTGAATTTAGAAGAATATTTTTCAATAATATATAAAACAAAAATTAGATAACAATTGTTAAAAATATAATAAGAGATCTATTATATTTCACGATTTTTCTCGATTTTAGCCTTTTTCTCTAAACAGTTTTTAGGAAAATCAGCTAGCAAACCTATTAAAATTGAAAACAAATTTTTAATTGCAGAAAGTTTTGCGAGGAAGATGAATTATTGATTTTCTAAATGTAAATTCATTTTTGTGTTTTGTTTTTTCATAATATATTTTCAACCTGTCTGATCATAAATCATGAATATGGGTTTTTTTGGAATGCGTTCGATTTTGTACAGTTTAACATCATGTTTTATGAGCAAGCTCTAGACTAACCAGAGATTTTTGAGCTCAGCCAAAATCTCAAAACATTTAATTTGTTCAAATTATTAATTTTGATTTTTCAAAATTAAAAATGTAAACTCTCAACATTTTTGTCCAAAATTATGATTCTATTGAAATTCGCGTATAGCATCGACTAACCCTACAGGCGACATAAATTCCATATTTTCAATTTTAATAATGCTTTTGGAATGTCGAAATTCTTGTGACTTCAGAAATTACTTTGATTTACTGCCCCGGAAACTAAGAAAAGTGTTGATCTCTTTCTCTTTCTCTTTTTAAAAATTCACTTTCTGCTCGTTCTCGTTTTTCTTCTTCCATCAATTCCATCAAACTCGGGGGGCTGTATCACCCAATGGATTGTTTTGCATCGGTCCGTGCATCATAGAAACAGGTGTTCATCGTGTTTATCTTGCAAACTCACCCAACCGACACTCATAAAACTGTGTATCTCTGGAGTCTGGGAGAGATATCATCCACCTTCTACCCTTCATCTTCTTCTTTTTTTTCTTGTCAAAAATGCTTTATACTTTTTGCCTTTTTTGTTTTTTTTTTTGCATTTTGATCTCACGGCTTCCCTTGTCTCATCCTGCAAATCTTGGAAAATGAGGAAAAGAGATGTAATAACATGTATCTGCTTTTTTTCCTTCTCTCCCTATGCCTTTATTTATGTCTTCATCTTTTATTATATTTTGGCCTCCTGTTGTTTTTTCTTTGTTTGTTACTATCATTTTTTTGGTAGAATAATTGTTTGTCAGTTTTTCATTTTGGTAATTACAGAATCCTCAATTTGTGAAAATGTCCCTTTTGAACAACAATTCAAAATTCTAAAATTAGATGAAAATGGTTATCGTGAGCTTTACTGATGTGAAAACAACTATTTTCTTGTTTTTTTTCGTAGAAAAACCAATCACTTAGTTTTTCAAAATCTCGTGCGCTGTAATACCTGCAATAGTGAGGCCCCCTCCATTCAAGTTGACCCAAGTTGTTTTGTATCGTGCAAAAAATGATAAAATCACGGTACTTTGATAATGAAAAGTAACTGGGACCGATTTAATTTTTTCTCAAAATTTCCTTCAAATTACCAATAACGGGAGAATTTTGAGTCTAAAATTGATACTAACCTCACAACAACTGACAAAATTAATTTCGTGGCTTTACTGTTGTAAACAACTATTAATGTTTTTTTGTGAAAAAAAAGTACAAAAGGGCCTTACACTGTCAACTTTTACCGAATCAATTTTGTTTCCTGAAAGAGTTTTCGAAGTGTAATCAACTGATAAAACTTCATTCATAATATCAAGAATGCTGTGTCAGTTTATCATTTTCAACAACTCTTACGAGAAACAAGCTGACGCTGGTTGAGAATGACGACTCGGGACACTTTTCTTACAGGGGTCACGGATATTAATGACAAGTGAATTTCCTAATTTGCTTTTATATAAAGCCAAGCTTTTTAGATTTTTTTTTCAAATTACCAAAAACATTTTTCAAATTACTAAAAAAAAAAAGACTTTCAAGTCCAAAATTGATACTAGCCTCCTCCAACTGTAAATACCATCCCGGACAAATTCAGGAATGTTTGCTAAATGACAAATACACGCTAATACACACCCATACATTGGAAATGAGAAAAGACGGAGTGAGAAGAGGAACCGAGAAGCAAAGTTTCCATATTTGTCTTGATTTCCTGTGCCATGCCGCAATCAAACTTATTCCCATCGTTCTACATGTCTGCGTCGTTATGCGTGAATAGGTTTGAATTGATTTGTCATGTTGTATGGATTCCTTCGATTTCTTCTTTCCTATACACAGTTTCTCAGCCATTCTAATTGCACCGCACTCTCTCATTTTACTTTTCTTTCTGAAACGAATTTCGAAAAAATAAAGTCTCAATTCAGTCTCCACCTACTTATTTTGTGCTACTAAATTTTTGATCTTATCGCAACATTTTTTCTGTCGTTGCTAGACAAGTGCCACCTCCTCATCCTTCCTAATGATGACAGTACTCACAAGAATGTATCAGCGTTGATAAAACATGAATCTCTCTTGCAATCATCTATTGACATTATATATCCTTCCACCGATCAAATCGAAACGGTTGAGAGAAAACGGCAATGAGCCACTACCCTCCTTTTCTTCCGCCGATGAAAAAAAACCGCAATTTTCTCTCCGATCTCTCCGATTTCATTTTTCAACATGCGCACTTGATTTGTTTCTTTTCCCTTGATTAACACTATCGAACATTTGTTTTGTGATCTATGTTCTCCATTTTTCTCCACTTGAATTTTTTCGTGCTAAAATTTATTTTGCATATTTTTTCTAGATCAGACACAAAATGAAGGAACTTGACCCGGACGAGTCAAACCTTCTGTTCGATAATCAGATAACAATCCGGGATGTGATAGAACAGTAAGTGTTCTCTTTTTTCTACTAATTTGTACGACAAACAATTAAATTTTGCAGAGGTCCGTTTTCAAATGTGTACCGAATACTACACGAGCCATCGAATCGGAAATTTATTATGAGATCAATAAATTTGGGCTTATTCAAGAAACACACCGGATTGGGGCCAGAAGGTGGGTGTGATGTATATTGTATTATGGAAAATTCAGAACATTATTTCATCAAATTTAGAAAAAAAATGGAATTTCAAAAAACTTCTTGCATGAAACAAAGTGAAAACGGTCTCGAGTTTTGCTAAAAAGTTAGCGCACGATTTTTTACAAAAAAATATTTAATCGCAAGTAGCGGACTTTCTTATCTCATCTTGATAAAAAATCTCAAAATCGTCAGGTGATCCGTTAAATTTGTGAACTTAAGTCAGAAAATTGAACAAATGCATTCTAATAGTTTGATTTTGGACTCAAAAATAAAACCGTTCATTTTTTCCCTAATTTTTTACATGAAATAGGAACACAGATTTTGTTTGGTGTGATGTCTATATTCAATTTTTGAAATTATACCTAATAAATCAGGTCGATACTAACCCGGTCTAATGTTCTGCAGTTTCCACATTCGAAAAAAGTTTTGAATCTTTAGAAAATGTTTCCAAATGTTTTAAATTTGAAAAAAAAACATTTGGCTCTTTCCGGGAAGAGCGGTCCCAAAGCAGGACCGCCGGTCCCAACGAACTTCGATAACGGTCCCATTGACCCGATAACGGTCCCATTGACCCGAGAACGGTCCCAACGTTCCGATAACGGTCCCAACTTTCCGAAACTGGTTCCAACGGTACGAGAACGGTCCCAACCAAGCTGTCTTGAAAAACCCTTTTCGGAAAACCGAATATTCAATTTTTTCTTTTTTTTTTTCAAAAGTCATTCTTTTTTTTTAAATAGAGACTAAGTCAATATCACGTTGAACTACCACTATTTTAGTGCAATGTTTGTTAGAAAACCAAAATTTCAAGATTTGTGTCATTTTTCGAGTGTTCTAAGCGCGTTTCAGCCTATACCTTAAAAAAAAAGCGCGTTTCAGCCTATACCTTAAAAAAACAAAAAATGTAATGATTTTATTTTGTTGATATCCAGGAATTTCTGTACTTTTTGATTCGGTTTTTTTAGAATTCTCGGTTTTTTTTGCTTTGTATTGCAGGCTTCGGCCAAAACACTTTTTCTGGCATTAAGGCAAACTAGGCCTAAGCCTGTAATTTCAAATAAAAAATCACTATGGAAAATAACCTGTTAAAAGTTCTGAAATTTACAATTATCAGCAAATTTCTCAATTTTGTCGCTGAAACATTTTTCTCAGTTGTCCGAGTAAGGCTGATTGAGCCCGTTGTCGTACCGTTGGGACCGTTCTTGAAAAGTTGGGACCGTTATCGAAACAATGGGGCCGGCGGTCCGAAGATGGGACCGGTAGTCCTGTTTTGGGACCGTTCTTTACGGAAGGAGCCAAACATTTTTATAGCACTCCTTTCATGGTGAGCATGCCATTTTCCATTAAACATTCTTTAACGCGGCCTCAGAATGTTTTTTGGATTTCTCAAACTTAAAAAAACTGTTTTTCAAAATAGTCTAAAAATTATTTTGAGTTTTTTCTAATTTCAAAATTTTCATACCCCTTCAAAGCTATTTTTTTCCCATTGATTTTTGACTTTGCGCCGGAAATGCCCTGAAAGTTCTCAAATCGTATGTGCTCATCCTTTCTCCCCTGTTTTTACGTGTGCTCATCCTTTCTCCCCTGTTTTTTTTTATCTCAATTCATCAATCATTCAATCAGCCATCATGTGTCTGTGTGAACTCTGGGTTTCGATAGAAACAACTGGAATTTCTAAAAATAAAGTCAAAAAATTTCAGAAGTCGACGAAGAAATTCGGATATGTCAAAATCTACAACATCCTTACATTTGTCGACTGGAGAAAAACATCATTAGTACAAACTATCGACATATGATCTTTGAAAATATAGAGGGGCATGATATTTGTTTTGAAATTGTTCAGAGAGCGAGTAGTGGATTTGTATTCTCGGAATATGTAGTGAGGTATGCAAAAGTTGAAAAAAGCTTAAATGAAATAATTATATTTCAGTCACTATACAAAACAACTTCTAGATGCGTTAGACTATTGTCACAATAAGAAAATTGTTCATAGAGATGTTCGACCGCACAATTTAGTTTTGGCGACGTATGTTACGAAGATTTCCGAGAATCAAAAAAATTCGAATTTTAGAAAAGACACCTCGGCACCTATGAAGCTATGTGGATTCGGAGTTGCAAAAGATCTGTCAGAAATAGGAGGCTCCCTGGCTTGCGGTAAGTTTACCTTTCATTTTAATTATCAATTTGAACATACATGTGCTCCTAAAACCATACAAAACATTCCAGGCCGCGTCGGCGTACCTCAGTTCATGGCCCCAGAAATAGTGCGAAAGGATCGAGTGTCATGCTCGTCGGATATCTGGTCTTCCGGTGTCGTCCTTTTTCTTCTACTCGCTGGGCGATTACCTTTCACGGGCTCGACTTCCGATATCTACGAGAGAATCATGCACGCCGATGTTGACGTGGGTTTCTTTTGTTCTTTAGGTTCTATTTCTTTCCTTTTTTCGAATTTCGAAGATACTTTCAGAGTTCAAACTTTGATCTCAAAATGAAAAAGCGAATTACAATTTGGTATATTTTTATCACTCATAGTCTTGACATAACCTTTTCTGAATATTTTCTTTAAAGAGCTGGCTGTGGTGCCTTTGGCGCGATTTGATCTGATTTTTTACTGTTCGTCGGTCTGCTCCTCACTTTTTTTCCTTGAAGTGTCACGTGAATCTAAACTCATTTTTCAAGCTCTTCAAAAGTCTACAGGGTGTCCACAGACGCATGTAGAGTTTCATATATAAGAAAGATTGCTGGACTGTAAAGTAATATCAACTTGACAAGATTAACTAGAAAATTCGATTCTTCATAAAAATATCAAATAACTTTTACTATATGAAATTTGGTAAAACTATTATATACCGTAAAACGTGTAATACATAGAAGATCCTCTAAGTTTTCACTTAGAGCTCATATATTCCTGTAACACATATCAAAAAGTGGTCAATTGACAATCTTTATTATGTTATTAGTAATGATAATATGAAAAACATTTTGTCAGTTGACCACTTATTAATATTTTTCAGTAAAACTGAGATGAATTGGCTCAAAGTGCAGGTATACAGTAGTCTTCTTGTAGAGTGTTTACTGTAGTTTGGGGTAATTTCCAAAAAATTTTAAAATTTATCCGCTTTTAATATTCCTTTTTAAAAAGTTTCTCAATTATAATCTTTTGTTTATCAGGTTGACCGATATATGCCCAATATATCGGAAAGTGCTCGAAACCTCGTCCGTCGAATGTTGTCTGCTGACCCCTCAAAACGAATCTCGGCCAAAGAGGTAGTTGTCAATTTTATCACATCTGCTCGTTCTCTCTTTCCCAAGCTCGAGTTATGTTTCGTTCTTTTTCCTTATTACACAAATTGGTTTGTTATTTTAGTACGAGTGTCAAATGTGAAAAGAAGAAAAAGATACTAATCAGTTCGTGAGATTTTCGTCAGTGAGGCGAGAAATAAAAGCCCCTGGGTTCTAGAAAACGAAATAGCTCGGCTCTACTCAACTCGATTGCGTTGGAATTCAACAAATCGAGCATGATTGTTTTCGAACAACAACAGACTAATGAATGTAAAGTCAACATTTCTCAGGATTTTGAGAATTCCGAACAACTTTTTGTTTTTCAGCTTGATGCTTGCTTAGAAAATTGTATTTGGTGAAGTGAAAACCCCTGGAACACTAGAGGGAGATGGGAAAGAAAAAACACTACAAAAAAAAGGGATTTTGCAGGCACTGAACCACGAATGGATTAGAGACAAAGAGCATATGGCCAGTCGGAAGCATATGAATGATGTCATTGATCACATGCGCAGATATAATGAATCCAGAAAGCTCAAGGTGGGAAAATGGGAAGAACTGGATTACTGTGAATATTGAAACCTTGAGTTTCAAACAGTCAAAACACACCTGCACTCAAACAAGGCTTCGAGTAAAACCCAATCATACTTTAAACTTGCCTATTTTTACTTCTAGAAGAACGGGTTCCCTTCTAGGTGTCATCTATACAAGTGTATCATGTTTCTTGATGATATAGCCTGGCAATTTGTCGCCGACGTATCATCCGTCCCATCTCTTTTCATACAATTTCCGCGGTTTCCTCTCCTCAAATCAGCTGATATCTCGTCCCTGTCTCGGTAGCGGGACGCTTTTGTCATGCGAGACAAAAGTGCCAACACCTTTTCAAAAATTTTCAGAGCAACGTGTTGTCGGCCGTCAATAGTGGCAGGTTTGACGAGACGACTCCCCGGCTCGGCACGCCTCAAACCGCATTCGTTGACGGATCATCGCCAGGTAAAACACGACTTATTCATACTATTTCTATTGTGTGCTCTCGCTATGAGACATCATTCTGGAATCTATTTCTATGATGAGAATTGTGCTCAAATCCGTAAATTATCAGGTGGAGACTGCTGCCAACGTGGAGAATCTACATCCACTGATGCCGCTGAGCCACCAGTGGACAAGGACTTATCTGGAGCATACAAGGTACGGTTTTTGATTGTATTCTTTTAACACGTAACACGATTTCTGAAAAAAAAACAAACAGTGACACCGTTTTTTTAATTGTCTGAAAAATTCATTTTTCCAACTTCTGAATCAAATCAGATCGAACATTTTCAAGAGTCTGGAGCTTGGCTGTCATGTTTCCAATCACTTTGAAAATTTTGGAAGGTGTGAAACAAACCTACACTAAAAACTCTGCATTTACAGATTTTTTCAAAATTTCCTAGTTTTTCAGCTATTTGCCAATTTCTGAAAGTCATTTTTTTTTGGCTCCTTTATGCACGTGAAATGTGAAAAAGCAGGTATCATTTAGAAATTGGCAAATACTTAAGAATTAAAAAAAAACTAACTAAAAACTAAAAAACTAGAATTTTCAGAAAGTTTTGTGAAAACAAAAATTTACATTTAGGTATGTTTTCCACCTTCCAAAGTTTTCAAAGTGACCCTACTTTTGATAGCCAAGCTCCAGGTTTCTGAAAATACTCAATCAACTGAAAAATACGTTTTTGTATGTCTTACTGACTGATACTGTATAGTTTATTGAGATTTTACTAACACTTCATTTTACTATGAGTTGAGTGAATAAAAGGTTCTAAAATCCCAAAAGAACCCTTAGCTTGCATTTTTGCCAATAACATAATTCAGAACGCTTTAATAATTTTACTTGTTACACAGTTCTTTTTTTCCAACTTTGCCCCGACGAAACTACAAGTGCTACCTGTCTACGCTAACCGATCATCATTACCTCTATTGCCACTTGTAATGCGCACGTAAAAATACAAGCAAACACTATTAGCTCGACTCTTGTCCTATTTTTTGCCCTAGAAATATCTGCTCATCAATGGTGAGTCTTTCATTCTCAGGATGGTTTAGACCTTCTGTTCCGGAACTCTTTCCAATAGTAATCCAATAAAAAAACGAAATGGATGATCAAATGCAACACCTCGGGAATCTATCTCTCAGGAGCATCCCTCTTTTAGCGCCACATTAAATTGTCATCTGTTGTAATTTTTGCCGCATCATTTTCTCCATGGGATGGGAGAATGGATAGATAGAGACAGAGGAAAACATTTTTATAATGATGATGTTTTGAATAACGACCGTAATAATTGATCTCTCAAAGTTGCGTATAATGAGGCGGATCTTTTCAGGTTCTGGGGAGCTTGGATGCTATCAACAGTCTACTTGACCCAGGATCCTACAAACCCGGAAGTACTACATTCCAAAAAATTCATGATGATGGAAGTGTCAGAAATTTGCTAAGGGTAGGTATTTTATTTATCAAACTGGATGTTGGCCGAGATTGGTCCCAAAAATATGAGTTTTTAACAAAGATCAACTTTTTAGTCGTGTTGTTGGTTAGGAGAGGTTAACAAGCATTTTCTAAACGTGTTTCACTTTTCCTTCATCCTCGCCTTTTTGAGTCGTCCCTTTTGAAAGTCAACGGAGCACCGGGACGGCAAGCAGCGCGGCGATTTAATTACGAGAACCGCTCTCCAACGCAACTTGAATAGCCTTCTAATGGACATACTCCCTCTTGCCTCATCCCTATGAAGGCTCCGCCTTGCCTTCTCCAACCCTCGCCCATAATTTCATTTTCAACGCACACACACACATACACATACAACACTCAACAGAAGAGCAAGAGGGCCCCTGCGGGCAGGAGCCACCATCGGACCCTTCACTTCAACGACACACACTCATTTGCTTATCTCTACACATTCATTACGGAATCAGTCGACTGTGACCGTCTCGCCAATTCTAAACGCTAACTCGCCAAATTTTCCCCAATTCTGTGACGTATTTTTTTTGCTCTATGGGAGCGAAAGTTCGATAGTGTTCGCTCATGAGAGGAGGTTCAGAATTTGAGAGAACTGTACCATAGGGAACAGTGAAAAAGGAGGGTGAAATGGCATTCGGATTCCGGGACTCATTAGATCAGGTGGGTTTTTTGTGCGATGTGTTTGAGATAGTGGAATACAGTACACAAAATTCAACATTTTGTGAAATTTGAGTTAATTCTGTTTTATGAGCGTATCTATGGATTTTTGACGTTTAAGAGATGAGATACCATAAAAACAAATAGAAGGCCACCCTGTATTTGCACTTTGTGCCTAATTATCTCAATTTCTATAAGAGATATTGAGAAAGTGTCAAATGACAACATGTTAGTAATATTATGACAAACATTTTATCAGTTGACAGAATTTTGATATGTTTTATGGAAATTGAGATAATTGAGCTCAACATGCAGTTACAGGGTGACCTTCTTGTAGAGTGTTTACGGCAATTACGAATTTGATGCTTTATTGTCAGAAAACATTATCAAAAAATTAAAATAGATGTTGAAATATTTTTTAATTCAATTTTCGACTAGTTTTTATCGCGATAGTCATTAAATAGAACGTAATTTAATACAGGGTTTTTCCAAAAACACCAAAAAACGAAGTAAACGAAACGTACGTTTGTAAGTTTCTGTTTGAATTCCGAATTTATTTTTATTCGAGTCAAGTATTTCAACACTTTTCAAACGCACATATTTTGCAAAATTCGTTAACTTTCAAAGATTTTAAGAACCTCTACCTCTCAAAGTTAGAACTTGGATCGCTTAAAAATAAGAAATACCACGTTTTTTAGCTATTTTTTGTCCGAAAACTGATTGGCTGACAAAATGACAAGAACGCTATGACATGTTACTTGTATATATGTTGTTAGTGAGTTCTGTGGCTGCTCCAGTTGTGTTGTTGGGTGATGGGGACAAAGAGGCGGTCCTCCAGCCCTGGAGAGAAGTAGAAGAAGAAGAAGAATCTCTGAAGAAGAAATAGAAGAGTGACGGCGGTGGCGGTGGCGGCGGGCTTGTCTCAAAAAAGCCCTTCGCTCGGGCGCCTCTCCTCCCATTTTCCCCGTCTCTCTGACCCGTATCTCTCTCGGTTCTTCTTCTGCCGGTCCTCTTCAGAGAGCAGTCCTCTCCCGCCGGTTGCCGGTCCCACCCCAATCCCGCCTCGAAATCAAACGGCGGTAATATTCCTCCCATCTCTCAAGATTTTTGCTATCTCTTTCTCCTATTTTTCTTCTTTCCAGTCTCAAATCAAAATCTCACTCAAAATTCTTTGCTTCTTCCTTAATCCATCCTCCAACACCATCATTTAGTCCGAGGTGTTCGTCGAGAGATCCCTGTATGGATTCGACGCTGTTCCACAACTCACTCCTGGCGATCCTCATCGGCTCATTCCTGATCTTCTTCGTGTGTGTTCTTGTGATCGGAGCATTAAGCGATCGTGGCCTGTGCTGTCACGACTCGTCGTTCGTTTCGCATGTCGTCGGCAATAGCCACCACCAGCAGCAGCAGCACAACGCCGCCACCAATGGAACACACCTCGTCGGAAGACAGTACCACCACCACGACGGCACAATATCAGACGCCATGCCAATCGTCGTCGTCATGCCTCGATGTGACTGTGGCGGTGGGGACAAGTGTGTCGTTCCTGAAAGCGAATCACCTAGTATCCAGCCCGACGAGTCTAGTAGTGGATATTACGGAGAGCAGTTCAACACTGGTAATCTAAAGAGTTGTGAAACTGGGACACTGGGATAGTAAGATAGGAAACTTATTCTGAAAATACCTTTGAGATTTTAAATCTCAAATAAATATGGTCTATGCTTCTCGGAACCACTTCTCGCCCGTTTATGTTCCCTTAAGTAGAGCTGAAGTGGCACAAATAATTAAGAGACCATCTTTTTAAATGTGTTTTGGTTCAGTGAATAACCTCAAAACTAACCAGCTATAATTATAATTGAAGAAAAAAATTATAAAATTCCATCCCGTCCTCATCATATATTTGTTTTCAGTTGTATGACAAAATCAACGCGTTGCCGTGCGAGCCAGTGGTTACGGAGGTCGATACGTCAACTCTTCGAAAAGAGGTAACTTTTTTTCAAAAGTTTTGTAGAAAGAAAAAATGAAACAAAACAAAATACGACTATTAGCACATGATGACAGCTTGTTAAAATCTCATCCTCTTTCTTCTTCTGTCGTAAACATTTGGTTGCGGTCGGGTAGCCACCTCTCTCGTATTGCCTTGAAAAACAATGAAAACAACACGTCTCCCATCCCCATGCTAAGCCAAAGAAAACGCATTTTATCAAAATTCGAATCAAAAGTGCTGAAATGTGGGCTGTTTGACTTGATGGTCCCGGGAGACCAATCAGTTCTCACCGCATTGGCGCGTTTTTGCCTGAGCCTATTTGAATCAAAAAGCCGCGCCGCACTTTTTTGTTTTGCCAATAAATTTGAAGCAAAACGGAAAAAGAGCAATTTTTCACAGGGAAGTGTTGTCGAAAAGGGTTGATAAATTGAGCTATAGAATATGGAAGAAAGAAGCAACACAAGAAACAAGACGAAGAAAACGTCAGAAATTGATGTCAGAAGAGATGTGAACTCATTTGGGAATTCCACAATGAAGTGTTTTCTGACACGGCGATAGTTTGAAAAATGCATAAATTAACTAGTTTGAAACAATAGCAAATAACTAGAAAATTTTTCAAAAAAAGAAAAGAAACAGGAGGCTCAAATTTTATATTTTCTCTGTTTCAGACAGTTCTACAAATCGACGGTCTTCTTGGTCCTAGTCCAGAAGCGTTGGAACTTCGACAATTGCTCAACTCACGACATTTAGCGGTAAGTGATTTTTTTAACACCCCCAACCAATAGTTATGCATACTATAAACTCGCTCACTCTCTCACAGAAAAAATGCCATTCTAAGAAACAATTGGAACATTATGGGACCACCATAATCCACCTTTTTTTGCTACACACTCTCTTTTTTTTGCAACGTCTTCGCTGCTTTTTTGAGGGGATTAGCGACGTTCTCTGTTGGAAAAAAGAGTTCATGGTACATCTGAAAATTTTTTAGATAAGTACAGAATTTTGAACGTATCTCCAAAAGTCCATAATTTTGTACTTCACATGACGCTGGTGAAAGAGTGAGAGAGAGAGAGAAAGAGAGAGAGAGAGAGAGAGAGAGAGAGAGAGAGAAAGAGAGAGAGAGAGAGAGAGAGAGAGAGAGAGAAAGAGAGAGAAAGAGAGAGAGAGAGAGAGAGAGAGAGAGAGAGAGAGAGAGAGAGAGAGAGAGAGAGAGAGAGAGAGAGAGAGAGAGAGAGAGAGAGAGATATGACATTATTTTTCTCGATATATGTCGGATATATCGAGGCGAAATGTCCAGAGAGTGAAAAGTCGCCCGAAAAATTGTGATTAATTACACGCCATCTGCTATCTCTCGCTTCATCCACAGCCGCATTGTTCATTTCAAAGCTCAAAAGTTATATAGAGAAGCACCGGTGGGACAAGATAATTATACGAGAGCATTGAAAATTGAAAAGAAATACAAAATCACCATAAAACTTTTATTTTCTAATACCAACTCTTCTGTCGTTTCAAGAGAATTCCGAAAGACAGTACTATTACACGGGTTCTTTAATTAGAGAAAGCCCTTCTATTTTCCCAGCCAATTTTCAGAAGTTCTTCATCGAAAAATTCGGAGAACTCTTGTTCAAAGTTTATGAAAATCTATTAACTTCATCCAAACTGAGAAGGTTTTTGAGCATCAAAGACACTTTCAACGATTTTCCATAAACTTGTCCAATTCCCATCCTTTCATAGAGGCTCTCATAAAACAGTTTTCCAGTTTTTTTTTAGTTTTTGTAGTAATGACCTCAGGTCTCATTTTGGGTAGTACCTTCTTGAGAGATCTTATACTCAAACTTTTCTTTAAAAATACTTTCAACTCTTGGTGCAACTTGTTAAATAATTCGCACTTCCGATCTCTGTTCAAAAATGCAGGAGTGCAGAAACAAACAACTTGAAAATAGTGAGAGCAAAAAGTACTTATGATGGTACCTGTTTGACTTTTGTTCTCCACCTCTGCAAGATACTGTTAGTCAAAACCCTTTTCCCCAGTGATTGGCTTTCAATGGCAAGCACTAATACTGTTTCGAAATATGCTCTTTTCAAGGAAAGTTTTTTTTTTTGAAAATTTTTGTTTAGAAATTTATAAATAACAAGGACCTATAAATTGGAGAAGCTGAACTATAAAATTCCATAAAACCTCTCATAGAATGGACCCTTAACGTTAAATTTTGTATCACTTTTTCTCGATTTCTGTCAAAGATATAAGAATGTTGTCTAAAAATTATTCATCGTAACGCCACAAACATTTTTTTCAGTTTTCCACATTTTAAATATCTTACAAGGCAGCCAAAAAAATCAGTTCAAACGTAACAGAATGGGGACTTCTCTATCGCAGGTTTTCGGAATAGCATTAACCTAAACCTAGAAGTTGGAAAAGTTAAACTAAAAACTTGAAAGTAACTTATGAAAAAGTATAGATAGAATTGTAGGACCGAGCAAAATATTCTAGATACTCATAAAATTAATCATTTCTGTTTCAGAGTTGTGTTCAAGCTTTGGATGTCGTTGTCTGTGAAATCCGCGATGCAAAAAATGAAACGGGCGGTTCCGGTGACAAAGATCCCAATGTAAGTTATTCAAAACCAAAGTTTAAACCATACTTGCAAAATCAGGGCCCGGCCCGCGGGCCGAGCCGAAGATTTCCAGGACCCGGGCTGGGTACTCCAAATTTAAAAAAAAATTCTGATATTTCAGAAATTTTTTCATATTTTTTTGTGAAAGAACTATTTTGTATGGACAATCCTATCTTAAAATTTTTTTTCTTGTCAGAGAAATTCTTCATTTTTTTCTGTTGACCCCAAAAATAATTTTGAAAGACAGAAAAATTGTTTTCCAAATATCCGGGCTGAGACGAGCCCGGGCCGGGCCCTGAAGATTTTGCAAAAGCCCGGCCCTATGCTTTAAACTCTCTCCTATTATGTATGCTTTAAACTCTCTCCTATTTTTTCAGTGTGTCTCAAGTGATCCTGCGCCAGCATACTTAAACGGAGGCGTACTGCCATTAGGTTCCCAGAGGGCCGGAACATCCTACGAGCATTTCAATCATTCGGCTGTCCACACGTCATGTCAGTTTTTGATTATTTATCCGATCTGACAACTTGATTGACTATTCTGAAAATTCCGAATCAGAAAATAGTCAAGATCCGCCTTTTCTCCTAGCGGATCTATTCATGTATAAAATAGTTGTTATTCTTTTCATTTTCTTACTTTTTTATTTTTCCAGACGACGAAGAAGAGGAAGACTTGTACGACTGCATGTCTCGGTTAAGGCTTGTTCAGTTCCAAAAGGATACACAGGAGCCAATGGGTATCACGTTAAAGGTGAACGAGGATGGAAGGTGTTTTGTGGCAAGGATTATGCATGGTGGCATGATTCATAGGCAAGGTTAGATATTTTGAATTTTAAATAAATTCGGAAAAAAGCCTTTACTAGAGACAAAAGTTATATACGCTTCGTGTCTTCTGAAACTAAGTTTTTGAAGACTTGTGAGTTTTGATGACAAGTAATTAACCAAATTTAAAAACTAGAAAAGCCATTTTTAAATTTTCGAAAATTTCGAAAACATTGTGACTGAAATTTCGAGAAATTTTTGGGAAATTTTTTTTAATTGCGTTCGGTGGTAAAACATATCTAGAAGGAAAACATTGCATTCAAAGAATTTTTTGAATGTTCCTAGTTTTTCAGCTGTTTGCCGATTTCTGAAAGGGTCTGTTTTTGGCTCGTTTTTGTACTGTGAACGTGAAATAGGGGTTTTCAGTAATCGGCAAATTGCTGAAAACTAGGAATTTTGAAAAAATGTTGTGAATTCAAAGTTTTCAAATTATATTGGTCTGTTTCACTTTCTCCAACATTTTTCGAAGTGGTTAGAAACTTAACAGCCTTGCTCCAGACTCATGCAAATAGTCAAAATTACCCGAAAATGAACTGAGAAATACGGTTTTGTTTATCTTATTGGCCGGTACTGTAGGTCTACTCATTTTTTCCGCTTTAATAGAACATATTATTGGAAAATAATGTAATTCTAGCTTTTAAAAATTGAAGAATTCGTAGCTAAATCAAGAATGTTCAACTTGCAAGTAAGGCCTTTGTGTGGTCACAGAAGATCATTCATTTTTCCTGTAACTTCCTTAAGTCTACTGTAATTTCAAAAATTCTTTCACGTTTTCTAGTTATGAAAAAATTTCACAACACTTTGTCTGTCGATTTTTACCAAACGATTCTCGTAAACCACTTGTCAGTTTCTCTCAAATGGAGATGATGTTCTGACAGGAAGCTAGTATTTTTCGGAGCGATTCAATATGATACAACAGTAATGACATCATTTTGTTTAGAAACAACGACTTTTCTGTTTTTGTTCCACTAATTACAGTAATCCAAGAAACAATCGAGAAGTTAATTACAATATGAATCATTAATTCCAGCTACTCTCCATGTTGGCGACGAGATTCGCGAGATTAACGGAATGAGTGTTGCTAACAGAAGTGTAGAATCGCTCCAGGATATGCTTCGTGATGCACGAGGACAGGTCACATTCAAAATCATTCCATCCTATCGATCCGCGCCGCCAGCATGCGAGATTTTTGTTCGCGCCCAATTTGACTATGAACCAATTCAAGATGATTTGATTCCGTGTCCACAAGCAGGAATTCCTTTCAAAACTGGGGACATTCTGCAAGTGATTTCCAAAGATGATCACAACTGGTGGCAAGCTCGATTTGTGTCCTCATTCCCATCTATAGGAAATTCTTCTAATGGTTAGTAACCTTTATAGTATTCAAATTACAAATACTTTAATTTTCAGCGCAAAGAAGTAGCCAACAACAAGTCGCCGGTCTCATTCCATCTCCAGAACTTCAAGAATGGAGGACTGCGTGTTTGGCAATGGAGAGATCCAAGAACTCTTGTAATAGTAATACTAACCCCCATTTTCTAACAGAACAGAATATCATCATCTTTTCTTCCAGCTCATTGCATGTGGTTTAACAAAAAGAAGAAGTATTACACGACAAAATATCTTCAAAAACATTCGGCCCTGTTTGATCAGCTGGATTTGGTGACTTATGAGGAGGTGAGCAATGTTTTTATTAGAGGTAAAAGTTTGATTTATTGTTTTCAGGTAATGAGACTGTCTCAATACCGTCGGAAGACACTCGTACTTCTTGGAGCTCATGGAGTTGGTCGACGACATATAAAGAACACGCTGATACATAGACATCCAAATAGATTCGCTTATCCAATTCCACGTATGAAAAATAAGAAAAACTATTCAAAGAATATTAAACTTTCAGACACTACAAGGCCACCACGAAAAGATGAGGTGGATGGGAAACACTATTATTTTGTTACCAATGAGCAGATGATGGCGGATATTCAGAACAATGAGTATCTGGAATATGGCACACACGAAGAGAGTGAGTTTTTCTGAATTTTGACAGTTAGTGAACCAATTCTTGTTTAGGTATGTATGGAACCAAATTGGAAACAATCAGAAACATTCATAAAAGTGGAAAAATTGCGATTCTAGATGTCGAGCCACAAGCTTTGAAGGTTCTCAGAACTGCTGAGTACTCTCCATTTGTAGTGTTCATTGCGGCTCCAAATTTGCAAGGAATGCAAGATGTGAGATTGGACATTTACCGTGCTGGCCTTAAATATATGAAAAAACGAGTTTTCCTCTGATTTCTGCCGTTTTCAGTAGTCTGTAGCTTGGCTGTCAAGTGCCCGATCACTTTTTGAATATTCGCGTTCATAAAACAGACCTAGATCAAAAGCTTTGCAATTATGGATTGTTTCGAACATTCCTAGTTTCTCAGTTATTCGCCGCTGTCTGAAGGACACGTCTTTTTTCCTGTTTATGTACAGAAGACGTGAAGAAAGCAAGTGTCCTTGAGGAATAGACAAATATTTGGAAATCTAGGATGTTCGAAAAAACTCTGTGCATGGGAAGCTTTTAAACTAGATCTGTTTTACACATTCCAAAAATTTCAATGGCTAACATGGCTGAAAATCAACTGAAAATCACATTTTTCATATATTTATGGCCATCACTGTGCATTTCCCAACAAAAAATGTTGTATTTCAGCCTGATGGATCTTTGGAGAAACTTCTGAACGAATCAGATGTTCTACGACAGGCTTTTGGCCATCTTTTCGACTTCATCATCACCAACAGCGACATCGACGACACAATTTCTCAACTAGAACGATTAGTCGAGAAACTTCCAGCTTACCCGCAATGGCTTCCTGTCACTTGGGTCTACTGATCTCAAACACACCGTTTAGGAATATTTTCATGAAAAAAATCCCTTTAACAATTTCCCAAAATCAATCCAGTTATTTTTCTCCTCCTTCCCTCTCACCGGTGACACAATTGTCTGTCAAAAACAAAATAATTCAGTTTGAATAGGTGATTTCAGTAAAAACTATGTCTATTTTCAAAATCTGTTCAGTAGTTTTTACGATCTCAAAAATTTCAAATAAATTCAGTTTTTCAATTCTTCTGTAAACGTTTCCCTGGGTATTTGTTCTGGAGTGTAGGTTATATAAATATATTATTTTGTCAAACCAACCTTTTTTTTCAAATCCATCACTTTTTTTGATTGGAGCAACAAGTAGACCCCTTCATCTATATTCTAACACGTTTTTACGGTACATGGCCAATTTCTATGCTCATCACGTTCCATTGTTCTTGTGATAGATAATAAATTTGGATTATTTTCAATTTGCGTTTATTAGATGTGTTGATTTATTAAACAGATTAAATTGAATTTTGAAAGAAAAAAACCCCGTGAATGGTAAGATTTTTTGAAGGATGAGACAAAAAAAATTGAAAACTGTGATCTGAAATATGAGAGGAAACATAATGACAAGAGAAAATTAAAAATCGGAAAGTTGTTTCACTGACTATTATTTAAAATACCTGGTATATGAAAACCAAAAGTGGTAAAAACTACATGTTTAATTAATGACACCAGGAATACAAAAAATACAAAGGCTCAAAAATTGGAAAAAGAAATAGACTGTGCTACATAGTGTGGCAAGTCATTCGCATGAGCCCGAACAATGAAAACAGAGCTGAGAGGGATCAGAAAGAACGGGAGACATTTGAATAGGGAGAAATGAATAGCTATCACAACGAGACATTTTTACCAACATTGATAAAATCATTGATTTTGACTAGCCAAGAATGGAGAGGCAAACGAAACCTCAATTGCATGCAAAAAGTTTTTGTGAAGTAGTTCAATTTGAAAAAATATAACAAAACTTCTACACAACAATTAGAAAAAACAAAAATGATTATTCCTATGACATTGTGGCTCCAAGTTGCTTCCTCACTTTCTCATACACAACATATGAAATACTGACTGCTGGTATTACCTGAAAATTCGTATAACTATTTATTCAATTTTTGCAAGACGCACGAGGGTTCAAAACCTATTGTCAGAAATCGTGCACCAGATAACTTTTAAAACAAGCATACAGTACCGACTAATAAAATACACAAAAGGAATTTTCCAATAGAACTTCAGCGATTTTGATCCCTTGGAGCTTGACGGTCCAGTTTCCGATATCTTTGAAGATTTAAGAGGGTCTAAACCAATTGAAGAGGGTCTACCATTAAAATTTTTGCATTCACAGACTGAAAATCATTAGCTTTTTCAGCTATTTGCGCATTCTTGAAAGACATCCGTCTTGGCCCGTTTTTGTACTGGAAACGTGAAAAAAGCAGATGTCTTTCAGAAATCGGCAAATAGTTAAAAAACTAGGAATTTCCCTAAAATTCTCTGAATGCAAAATTCTCAATCCAGGTCTATTTTACACCCTCCAAAATTTTCATAGTAATTGGAAACTTGACAGCTGGGCTCCAGACTCTTGAAAACAGTCAAAATGACCCAAAAACGTTTGACATTCAACTAACAAAAATCTGAAGCGAAATCGGAAACGATTTACGACAATGAGTTCTGGATGGATGGGAAGACGTACCTTCATAAAATTGGGAGTGATTCCTCGATACAGCCCTGTGAAGCCTTCATTCTGAAGGATGTGTTTGAACTGACCGATCATGGTGTCCGGCTGAGAAGAGTTCTTCGGTGAGATAGCTGAAAATTCAAGTTCAACTTTCCAATAAATCATGAAGAACACAAACCTCTCGCCTGCAATCGTGTTCTCACCAAAGCCAATGGGTAACTAGCTAGTTGACCGCATGTTGAACTACAGGTTCCACACGCAAGTAGAGCCAATACACCTGGCTCCGTATGCTCCGTATAGTATTGTGTGTAGCATGATTTTAAAGTTTCGTAGACGGTGAGATCGATTCCAGCATAAGGGATGATTCCGAGGAGATTGGGTAGATATCCCTGTAAACATAACTGTTTTAGTCAGTCTGATCCGATATACAACAAACCTTATAGAAACATCGGATTCCTTCTTTGTCGTACATCTTATGAGCAAAATGTATCATTCCTCTATCCAGTTGACCCGTTCTTCGCAACGCTAACCTCGTTTTCATGACTTCCATTGGATAGATAGCTGTTTGTGAAATCGCACCCGCTGAAATGTTATGTTTAACTTGAGATCCCGAATTCTCGACTCAAATTCAGTTTTGATTTTTTAGTCTCCATTGCAGTAACTTGGTTAGAGAATGGGTGCCAAATGAAATAACCCTCTGTGAAAGTGCAAAAACGGATTCTGGTTATTCAATTATCCTATTAGGTTGTTCAATAAATAGTGGTCTCTTTCAATTCGCTCTACCGTTGCTTATCCAATTTTGGGTTTTTTTCAATTCTGTTTTTATATTTATAGACGTCACACATTGCATGTTTAATAGACATTTAAAAATTCCGAATGGACTGTCTAACGGCCGAGGATTTTCTCGATAACAGACACATACTCAAAAGTGTTTCTTTGATCATATGTCTCCAAGGTCTCTCGAACAACGACCATTAGCGAGCAAAGTGCAAAATGTTAGACGTAGACCTCATCTCTCGAACCACGATTGAAATTTGGTTCAAAAGGTTCGTATAAGAAAATTATGATCTGGATCATAAACCAATACCCAAAAGGCCTAGCCTTAATAAAAATGAAAATATTTTAATGATACTGGAGGAAAAGCTCTGTGCTACTTTGCGTGCATTATCTTTGACAGCCCACCATCCTAATAGCACCGTAACAGATCATGTTCCTCAAACGGGAAGAGCTCGGAGAGTCGATAAAATCGTTCCCCACATTTTGACCAATTTTTAGAAAAAGATCCGATGAGACCTGTCCGTTTCTCTCCTCTCCAGGAAACCGACGATGGACTGGGTCAACAAAACAATCATTGGAGATGATGAACGGGTACTGTATTTTAACAATGCCAGTAAGCACCTATGTCTCTCCGCAAAGGAAACGGTGGAATCGGTCTCAAAAGGCAACCTTCAAGAAAAAATCAGATTTTTCCGATTCGGTTAGAAAGTGCTGAAGTAAAATACCGCAAGCTGCTACCGGATTCCTATGTCATCAACTTTGGCTCTACTGCTTTCAAATAGAAAGTGGTATTTATGCACATCGCTCTCACCTCTAGAGAGCTCAGTGTTGAAATTTTTGCATGACAACGAAAAACCACACGAATATTCGAAGAGCCGTTACAAACTCCATCTTCTAGGAATCGAAGTTTTGCATTGCCCATCGTACACCGCCGACCTGGCACTAGCTAATTACTACCATATCCGATTTCTCCAGAATCGTCTTGCTGGTGAGAAAGTCCATGATCGGAAGGATGTCAAGAAATTTTTGGAACACTGTTTTGCCTCTAAGTCGCCAGAGTTCTACGCGAACGGAATTGCCCAACTTCCGTTGCGCTGGCAAGAAGTTATGAACTCCAATGGCGAAATAATTTCTCAATGATTCTTGTTTTCCTTGAAGAAAAAACTACTTGAAGAAAAGTGACCACTATTTATTGAACAACCTAATATTAAACTGACACCAGAAAACCTCTTAGAACAAGAAGTGCTTTCTAGTCTTCAAACTATAATGATCACTACACCATAACTTATTTTGCAACTCCGCTTACCTGATGAACCCGCAAATAACCGTTCATATGTCGTCAACTCCGCTCCACCTTTATATTCTTGAATCCACCTCTTGATTTGATCGTAGCTCATGAATTTCATAGCTGACTCTGGTGCAATCTTGATGACGTTGATACCATTTCCTCTCCAGAACGACTTGAGTCCTCCTTCGGCATGTAGAAGGTGAACACAGCTGACCACTCCAAGTTTGTTGGTTTTCGTGGAGTTTACCTAAAAACGTTTTCGTTGATGCAAATTATTCTTGCAAATACCGGTAAGGCCAGGAAAGTTGAATTTTAAAATATTTGTCATAATTTTTCTTTAACTCTATCCTATAGAAAAGTTTCAACAATAATCCGTCCTTACGCTAGTTTCGAAATTTCAATATTTCAAACCTTGACCGGATCCGGCCGAGCTGGGAAAGAATTTCGAATTCAAATTCAATCCGGGCCTGCCCGCGACAAGTATGTCGATAATTTTTGTAAAATGTCAGTGCAGACAAGCCGAGTCTCTGTTTTTTGAGTTTCTCTCAGCTAGAACAATCCCCAAACTTTTTGAGACGTGAATGACTATTCCGGCAATAGTAGAATTTTTAAATTAGTACTTCTCTGGAGACACGTGGCCAAATCTTACCTGCAGGTACACTTTGATACGATCGAACGGTGCTGTACACGTTCTCGACATGGCTCCGGCCACTCCTCCAGCCACTAAGTGTCGCCACCAAACACCGGACTGCAATTCTTGTGGTGTGAAGTCTTCAGGCACTTGTCCGTCTTCTCCGATATCAATTATCTGAATGATATTAACGATTATTAGACGTGGGTTTTGGTTATCATACCAAATTGTGCCGCCAGAAATCCACCATTTCTCGCATATCTGTTGACGGGTAGAGGAGCATAAAATCTTGAAATTCGTTCAGGTTGACCGATGATGAACCGGATTGATCCATTCTGAAAAACAAATAGTTAAATTGAGTGCAAACTATTATCAAATAGTTTGCAATCAGTTGGATGTACCGTTTTACTCTCTGCAGGAGTCTGTGTTTTTCAGACTCCCTGACACCGTTTGATAGATTTTCTGGAGCTAGCTCAGCAACTTTAAATAAATTTAAATTGCACTGCCATCCAAAATGCACCGGAAAGTTGAAGACGGTGTCGATTCTGATTGCCACGGGGCCACAGGCTAGCTACTCAGCATTAATAGCAAACTGAAACAGTTGGGAAGCTCACTTTTTTACAATACTCAGCGCTTTGTGATCATCCAAATTGACTCCCATTTCTTTACAGTAGCTCTTGATTTCTGAGACGTCTACTTCTCCATCTCTATTCGAATCAATCTGGTCAAATACTTCCGCTAACCGCGCCTCATGGGCAATCACATAATTGGTGAAGTCGGCATATGTGACACGGTCACTGTCTTCCCGCTTCATTTTGGCAAGTAGTTTCTGCAAAAAACAAAATTTTAGTGATGCTTACAAACAATGTCATTTGTTTGAGCTCTGTCATTGGGCATTTTCATTCAATTCACAACACCAGAAACGCGCAGAAAATTTATTGCGAAAGTTAAGACCACGTCTTACTCATTTCATTTTTTTTTCGAAACACGTAGAGAAATTGGTTTCTTGATGGAATAAAGCTTTCTAATTGCACATACGGGAGCCATTGTAGCTGGAATGTGCGGAGTTTGTGATGAGAGGGCTTGAGTGAGATCTCGAATGTCGATGCTTCCATCGTTATCTGCATCCAACCGGTCGTACATTTCTCGGATTCTGAAAAATTAAGTATGACTACGTTCAATTGTGGGTATCAAAGGATAATTAGTTAGGATCTTGGAAAAGGTTCTCTGGACACAGGTGTTCCACTTTTTGGCAAATGGGAGTTCCAAAAGCAATGTGAAAAATCGTTGGGCTCAATTTTGATCAACCAGGCAATTTTGATTCACTACCTAGAGCAGGACGTGCTTGGGCAGTTTGCCGATGTCTTGGTGAGCATTTAGAGTTTTAGATGGTTTGAAAGCCAAAAGTTGGGTAAAAACCGAAATGATGACCACCGGTCGGTGCAAATCTTGCATAACACATAAACGGCAAAATCGGCTCATATGAAGCCGGCCTGGCTGTATCAACGCTTTTGGTTTAAGTTTGAGTCAAGTTATGCTCCAGTTGGTCATCATCCGAAATCTTCCCGATCGGCAAGTATGGCTTCAAGCACGTTCTAGCTGATCTTCGAGTAATCGCTTAGGAAATTTCGATATTTTCAATCTTTCTAAGCCTCTTATAGTCTTGCACACAAGACAAGACTTACTTTTTCTCTTTTTCCGGTGTCAGATCAATATGTAGCGCGGCATGTGTTGCGATGGCGGCTTCTTTCGACACGGAACCCTAAAATTCATAGTCAGTATGAAAATAAACTATTCTGATAGCCTACCGAGATGAGAGGTTGGTGCTTTGAAGCCTTGAATGGCTGAACTGTTCTGGCATGTTCTTGGATGTTCTTGATGTCGATTAGCTCTGTAATTTAAAAAGTTAGAATCCTGGCTTTAAAATCGGAATAGAGGTTGGCAGCTTTCGATTTTTGCAAGCTTTTGAGCTCACCTTGTTTCTTTTCCTTCAGCAACGGTCCTGCTTGCAACGGTGTTTCAACTGTGACGCTCATCCTGGGAAAAAATTCCAATTCGAACAACGTTTGAAAGAGAAAACTCACTTTTAATGTGTAACCATGTGAAGTCGATGCTGGTCATTGAAAAATCCTATTTGGTTGATGGGTGGAGGAGCTCCAGAAGAAGGAATCCTGAATTTATCGATTTTTGCATTATTCACTAGCCTTTACCACAAGAAAACGACATTAAAATAAACGAGAAAATTTGAAAATTGAAATTCCGCTAAATCTTGATTGTTTTTCAAAAACAAAACGGAAGTAATCTTCCCGAAAAACCTAAGATCATGTGAAATTTTGGGTGGAAAACATATGTTATCGCACACATTCGTCCGGGTCTTAAAAGTGTCCCATCAACTCTACTGGCGTTTCTCGTGTGCAAGGCGTGCAACGCGATGATGACTATGATGTTGTGTATGAGAGGGCAGAGACAAGTGCGAGTGAGGAGAAGTGTAATGTGTGCCCCGCCGTCGGTGGTGTATGTGTGTCTATACAACAATAGAACGAAATTAATGGAAGAAAAACGGAGAACTAGAAGAAGAAGAAGGACGATTGAAGATGATAATACGGAAAATTCAAGGGTTTCTGGATAAGTTCTAGTGAGAAAAGTTTATGGAATGTAAGGTGTGTGAAAATCGGATTATTATAATCCAAATAGTCATGCACTGATTCCAAGCTACGTACGAAGAGATTTGAAATATTGAAAGATTTGTGTTTTAAAAATGATAAGAAGAAGGTGATTCTAAAGACAAACAAATTATGGATATCGCTGACAAACAGAGAGATGTTGTTTTAGGTTTTTGGTATTTTCAAAAAAAGAAGACAGGTGTTTTCTGAAGTCGTTGTGGATTCAGATGTGTTTGGAAGTCTTAGTACATTGACGTGATCATAAATCGGTCCAAAACACTTGATTTTCTATTTCTCTTTGTTACTGTTAAAATTAATATTTGAAGGTTGGTAGAAATGAAGATTCCGTAAATCCTATCAAAGAAACCCATCCATAACGCGCACTTTGAGCTCAATTATCTCGGTTTTTCCAAAAGGTATCAAAAATGTGTCAACCTGTGAATAAAGATCACAATATCACCAATAAAGATCACAATATCACCAATAAAGATCACAATATACCGATATTTTATCAGTTGTCAAGCTTTCGATATCGTTCACAGAATTCGAAATAATTACGTTTAAAGTTGACGGTTTGGATGGACTATTAGAGGAAATATGGTTACTAAGTCTCATCTGTTTCATTCTGAAAAAAGACTTAACAAAGGCCAAATCATCAGCAGATTGAAAAAAAAAACTGGATCTTCGTCATCGCACAGAAGAAACAAGAATAGAATTGAAGAGACAGGCATAAATTGTTGACGAAGACCCAGAACACACACAAATCAATTATGTGTATCTATCACAAATCTATTGATCAATCCGTTTCTCCTTGTTTTGCAGAAAGATTTGATTTTCAATTTTTGTCCTTTTCCTTTTGCTTCAAACATGTGTTCAGATTTTTACCAAGTTTAGAATCTTCTTCTGTTTTTTTCTCGTATCATTGATTTGGTTTACGCTGAATCTTGTTATGAATGCATGAGAAAACTTTTTTCTCTCGTGGTTTTTTCCTTCATATTCTTCATCTTTTTCGTCTTCTCGTCTTCCATTTTCGCCTAAAAACTTGTGTGAGATAGAGGAAAAAAGGAAGCCAAAAAAGAGACAGAGAGTCCCCTTGACGACTCGCGTAGCATTCAAAATTGCGAGAGGCATATGTGGTTGGAAGAAAGTAAAGGTGTGGGGGCTCAGCAGTTTTTCATGTCTGCTTTTCACACATTATTCGATTTCTACTTGGTTTTCGTCTGACTCGTACATCTAACTTTCATGTTTAGGTAGTAATGAGTAATTTAATGACGCGAAACGACCAACTATCAATGTTTTGAAATCACTCAAATAGCCACATTTTTCTTCATTTCATCGAATTTATCCTACAAACATTTTTATCGTTTCTCTTCATTAACTGTGATGATTCATCTTCAATTTACTTTTTTTAGCATGGACAAAATCTCGAATATGTACAACTTCGACGATCCACCCCCGGAAAAGTTAAGCTTAGAGTTGTTCAAAATAGAGAAGAAAATTGGAAAAGGACAATTCAGTGAAGTTTTTCGTGCAGAATGCACCTGGGTTGAGCTTCATGTAGCTCTCAAAAAAATTCAGGTTTATATTCAAATTCTCCTCTTGCGTATTTAGCTATCTAAACTTCTCTTTCAAGGTATTTGAAATGGTAGATCAAAAAGCTCGCCAAGACTGTCTCAAGGAGATTGATCTACTCAAACAACTTAACCATGTTAACGTGATCAGGTAGGATAAAAGGGTTGTCATCACGTGTTATGATCCTATTTATAGATACTACGCATCTTTCATTGATAACAATCAGCTGAACATTGTTCTCGAACTGGCCGAGGCAGGAGATATGAGTAGAATGATAAAAGTGAGGATAATCACGATAGATTAGCCTCATTTTGATAATTCAGCACTTCAAAAAAGGAGGACGATTGATTCCTGAGAAGACAATCTGGAAATATTTTGTTCAATTGGCTCGCGCTCTCGCCCACATGCATTCTAAGCGGATAATGCACAGAGGCACCACTCTCTACTATTTATATCTATATAGAACTGATTTTCAGATATCAAACCTGCCAACGTGTTCATTACTGGCAACGGAATCGTAAAACTTGGCGACTTGGGATTAGGCCGTTTCTTCTCATCAAAAACAACAGCTGCCCACTCGCTCGTTGGCACACCTTATTATATGGTGGGATTTTGGTTGAGAGAGAAACTAGTAATTTTCTCACACTACGGTAGTCAAGGGATTTGGAAATATCACGTCTGCGTATGCTAATGTGTTATCGAAAGTGCAAAAAATTAGAGAAGTGCAGCTAGAAAGGAGGAATCGTATAATAAAAAACAAACTTCTGAGTATTTAAGAAAGTTATTTGACGAACGAAATTCCGAATTTTGTTCAGAATCTAGCTTGAAAATCTACACAATAAAAAATTAGTTTTTTGGTTAACCACCATATCTGACAGAACGATTGCAATTTTAGAAATTTCTAAATGTTTCAAGAACCAGAAATTTCAGCCAAAAATCGGAAACTATGTTTTTTCTCAATTTTTTTGATTTTTCTGGTCAAAACTTCTAAACAACATTTTTTCCAATTTTTTTTTTCGGACCCAGAAACCGGAACAAATTTGTCGATTTTTTCGGAATGTGTTTTTTGCTTTACTCAGTTATGCAGGCTAAATTGAATAATCAACAATTCTTTATATTCATAAATTCAACTTTAAAACTTGGCAATCTAATTTTCAGTCCCCGGAAAGAATCCAAGAATCTGGATACAACTTCAAATCAGACCTCTGGTCAACCGGATGTCTTCTCTATGAGATGGCTGCTCTCCAATCTCCATTCTACGGGGACAAAATGAACCTGTACTCACTGTGCAAGAAAATTGAAAACTGTGAATACCCGCCTCTCCCAGCTGACATTTATTCAACCCAAGTGAGTCATTAATTCAAATTCAAAGAACCAAAGAAAAAAAACATTCTAGCTACGTGATCTTGTCTCTCGATGCATTCTTCCGGAAGCCTCAAAACGGCCAGAAACTAATGAGGTCCTTGAAGTGAGTTTATTTTTGGAATGTTGTTCTTCTCTTTTTATTTGTTTCTCTTTTTTTCAAAAAAAACACAAATTCAACAATTTAGGTCGCCGAACACATGAACAATCATTTCTCTCCGCCCGACGAGCAATCACCGGTTCCTTCTACGCCGCAATTTTGAGTTTTTTTCAATGAAGTCTTGCATCCGATTTTACTTTTACTATTAGATTCGAATTTTTCGTGTTTTTCTATCATATTTTGTCTTATCAACTATATTTTTGTGATTTCTCAGAACCGTGATATTTTTTTCGCATCATAAATATTTGTTTTTTTAAGCGTCCCGTTTTTCCAAGGAAAGCATAAATTGCCTAAAAACCTATAAACTGACAGAAAACTATTTTTTTATCGGTTGTGAACCCAAGTTTAAAAAAAAACTGATTGGTGTGAGAAAAATAACGGCTGAGAGCGAATATATGTTAAATTTTTCTTAAAGGCGCAAGACCGAATGACCGTATTTTACGAGGTTATTTTGAATATTTTAATCCCCAATTTCTCAACTGTTCAGCAAGTTTTATTTTTTCTCAAAAAACAATGAAAATCGTCGACAAATTGCTTACATTCAAAATAGAAGAGATACATCTTGGTTGTTCCACACAGAAGATTAATAAGATTCTCGATAGCTTAAAATTTGAAGAAAATATTCAGGCTCTGAGATTTCAAAACGCAAATTGTAGAATGTCTCAAAAAAGCGTTTTCACATTTTTATTGTTTTTCAAAAAAAAAAATTTAACCTATTACCTTTTGTTGGAGCGCTTACAGAAGTTTTCCTATGACTTAGAACTCATTTATTGTTGTTTTTATCTTTATTCCTGGTTTTTTATGTCTATTCAACTCCCGAAATGTGCATCATTCCTCCTATCCTATTCTCGTCTTTCCTTTTACTCCCATTTCTCACGACTTTTTGTGTCCGCTTCTATTCAAAAGATTGCCTAACTAAACCGAATGAGTTTCCATTTTCTTTTTCTTCTTTCTCCTTCTCCCAAAACATCCATTTTCCTGAAATGTGTTTCAAGATAAGAGTTCTCCCATGCTGTTTTTCACATTTGATCCTGGCTTTTATCTCATGGAACAAACTCTGAATTTATCGATATACAAAAAAAATAAGGGGGAAACCACGTGTTCAGACTCTATCTATCTTTTTCAATTTCCGTTTTTCCTCTTGCCGAAACCCGATTTTCCGGAATGGAAGAGGCGACGTCGTTGAAAACTGACGCCGCCTCCAAATTTTATCATCCGGTTCTTGCTTATTCTTGAGTGGAACAAAGTTCAATGACTTTCAGGAAAATATGGTAAAGCGAAAATGGCCTTTTTGTGAAATCCTCGTGGAAAAATGGTTTATGATGCTTATTACTTTGGCTCGTAGGAGTGAGAAAGTTGTAAAGAAAGGATATGTTTTTGAGGACTGTTTTTTTAAAGTTTTTTTTTTGACATTTTGAAATCCTAAGGATGATAGACAATTTCAAAAATCTAGGTTTTATTATTTTTCGTAATCTTTTCTTGAAAGTTTAATCTTCATTCTTTTAAACTGCTACAAATCACAATAATGGCTTCAAAAACGTCGAGTCAAGTGATTTTTGATATTTTTCAATTTTACATCTATTCATCAAAAACTAGAAGATATTTGCAAGTATTAACTGAATTCAGTCCAATTTTTTTCTCTTTTTTTCACTTCTGTATCCGATTCTTGCTCTTTTCAAAATACGATTTTTTGTTTCCTGGTAGCGAAATCAAAAGATCTGAAATTCCTGAATTCTGACGACTTTTTTCCAACACCTTTGTTCTTTTTCTTCTTCAGATCTTTAACCTCAACGCGCACCACTTCAAAGAGCGCAAATTATTTTTCTTTCTGTAAAAAACTTTCTTTGAACTAAGCGAACGCCTAGCTTTTCAAAAGACCCAAAATCATTGTCGTCGGAATCAAAGGCTGCCTTTTTCTTTAAAAAAAAGAGACAGTCCACTCGAATCATCTATCTGTATTTCCACTGATAACAAAAAGACGTTCAAAAAGTCACGCAAATCGAAACCTCTGGTATCGCTGCCCTGACGTCAGTGCTCAAAGGTGCTCAACCTCGACGGGGGAAGATTTCATTTTCTCACTTGGTCTATCTCTCATCCGATTTGTTCTTTTGTTTTCTCTCTGCGTAGGTAACAAAAAGGGATGCAATTTGTGCTTGTTTTACACATGAAGAAGGGCTATTTTTGTGGTCTCAACTTGTGCATTTGCACCTATTTTTGAATTTTCAATAGGCCTCTGGTACTTTAAAGAATACTGTAATCGTACTTCCAGTACTAGCAAAAATTTTAATTCAAAATACCGCGTTTCCGCTAATAAAAACCTGTCCAAACCGTCGACTTTGAAAGTAGTTATCTCGATTCTTGTGGAAGCTTTCAACATTTTGTCAACTGAAAATTTTGTCAAGTATTAGTGATATTATGATGAATAATATTAGTGATATTATGATGAATATTATGATGAATAGACCAAAAATTGTCTAAAAACCCTATTTCGATATACTGATACCAAATTCAAGGAAACCCTTGTCAAATCGTGCTTAATTCCGGGCAAAAAGGAAATGCCAGGAAATCATAGATGGGACTTTGATGAATTGATACAAATTATTTGTCTGCTCACACGTTCCCCGCTGTATTTTTCTGGTATTATAGGAATCTTTCATTTAAATTCACGGAAAATTCTGAATTTCTCGAAATATCTTAATCGGGGAAGCTTCTCTATAAAAGTAACGAGAATTTCAGCCATTTTAGTCTCCACACACAAGCCCAATTCAGCTCACTGACTCATTTTTTTCCACACCCACACTGAGAGAGTAATTGAATGAATCGAGGCTTTGTTAAAAAATGACTAATTACACTTCTCTTGCAGTGTTTTCAGTTAAAACACTTTATCGCTTTTTCTCTTCATTGTTTCTCCCCCGGGTCAGATAGAGCAAAAAAGATAGAGCAAGCCTAGGTGGTCTGTGAGTGAAGTTCTAGCGAAAAGCAACAAGTTATAGAGTGTTTGTTGAATATGAGGATTTGAGAAAATGAAATTATGCAACAGCTATAGTCATTAGTGGGCCCCCAGGATTTGTTGTTTTCCAAAAAGTGTGTTTTTTTGCGTTACTATTTTTTTGACATCATTTTTTTTGAAAAGAAAATACTTTCTTCTGGAAAATCGTAGCTTCTGATTCATTGTTCATACATCTTTTTGTAAATCAGCTGTTTTTTGAGCGCCCATTGTTATTAATTTCCATTTTTTATGAACACAAAAATGGAAAGAAGAAGCCGGTTTCTAAAACATTCAATTTTCTGATCAAATGGATGTTGGCCTAAATTTCTTCCTGTTCAAAAATCTATGTTTATGTATTCAGTTGATCAAGACAACTATCTCATGAAACCAACCCTATGGAAAATTCGTAACCTCTTTTCAAATATTCTCATTCTTTCACCTCTCACCGCCCATTAGAGCAAATCTTCTGGAACGTTAGACTCGCGTAATTTAGTTAATCTTCCTTTAGTCTGCTTTTGTTTCCCCTTCCTTGTCCATTTTCCTCCCCACATCATTAATTCACTCTATTTTCACATCGAATTTGTAATTCTCCCCCTCATTTATATCTTTAAATCTTGAGCTATAGATAACCAGATATTTCTGGCTAGGTCATTTATTTTGTTTTTACGTTATTCCTTTTTTTTTCTTTTTGTTTCGTTATTGCATGTTTCTTCTGAAGATTATTGAATGCTCTTTGAGCAAGAAGGAGAATCCTACTCTCAGAACATCTAGACCCAGAATAATGGGAATCCCGAGGAAGGACAGGAAATTAGATTTTGTTTATACGATTGGCATATGACGATTTTGAGGGGTAATCAAAAGTGCGGAAAAGTCAGGAGGAAGGTTATGAAGGATTGTGCTTTTCTTCATTTTTATCTGCCTCGTTCCATAGCCGTCATCTCTGCCATATACATCATATCCTAAAAATGGAGGCATAGAAGGAAACAACCATTTGAAACAGAAAAGAATTTTCAATAAATTTATGATTAGCGAACACAGTGTGAGGGATCCCGTTGGGAAATAAAATAGAGTAGAAAGTCTCGAGGATAACCTTTGAACCTGGACCATGGAGAAATGTATTCCTTGTTCTTGACTTATTTATGTTAATTAGAGTGTGACCACGAGTTGCTTTTATTGCTTGCGATCTCAGATTCAAGGTTTTTTATTTAGTTGTGGGATTTTTTGATATTTTTCTGATAATCTTTCAAAGGTCATCAAGTTAACTTCCTCACATACAAAAGACTGAAAGTCACCTGAAAGTGTTTTTCCCGTCAAACTAAACACATTCCTTCAATGCGATGACTCCTAGATTTCATTTTTGGTCTGTAAATGTTCATCTCAACATGTTTCGCCTTTTAATCGTGTCATCTTCATATCAATGTCAAAATGAATGATTTTCAGAGAAAACATCCCACACGAATTTCATATTTTTATGTGTTATAGATTTGATTTATTTTAGTGACTCGAATATTCAATTTCTTTAGATTTGATTTGAGTACACCAACATGATATGATTGGTTTCATTGATTTCTCCATATTCCTGTTTCCCGTATTTTTCTACTAAGTTTAAGTACTTCTAGCAAGAGCAAATTTTGATTCACAACAAAATTTCACATCCCAATTACCAATGAATCAGAATTCGTGTGTTTTAAAAATTTTGCCAATTACTCCAACGCAACGCCTCTCTTCCGGGCTTCTATTTCTGCACTACAATAATACAACTTTTTGAAACGAGAATGCTAACTCAAGTACTAATTAGGCAACAAGTTCAAACTCTCAAATTGTTGCAATTTGTACTTGTGCAGAGAAAACATGAGAAAAGTGTCTGGAGCAGAAATAGTGCAAGTCTGGAAAATCTCTAGGTTTTCGTGTAGGTCTTGTTTTTTAAAAAGAGGACAAGACACATCATTCTAAGAAATTGGAAAGCAGCACAAATCTAACAAGTTGAGGATGATTAATCATCTTTGAGTGTTCTTTATACAATTCTAAGAATCTGGCGAGAATCTTCACAAGGGAACCTAAACTCCTTGTGAATCCAGATTTCGATGAAGTTTCCAGGATTAGTTGAGAATCGAAAAATTAGAATTCATTCGCCAGTTTCAGCCGAGTTATGGCTGTTACAGCATCAAAAATCGCCTTTTCAGAAGCAGAAAATTTCCAAGACGGTTTTCCCAGTTTCTAGGAGATTTTAAAACATGAAATTTATTGTGTTATACTTAGAATTGAAAAAGTTTTATTTTTCATACATTTATTTTTAAAAAACAGTTTTTTTCTCAATTTTCGGATAAATCTGGTAAATAGTAAAAAAAATTCGAAATTAAGAAATCTTCAATTTTCCGAGAAAATGTTCGAAATATGGGAACTTATCAGTTTTAAGCATAACACATCATTTTTCGTGTTCTGAAACGGAATCTGAAATTTTCAGTGATTTCTAAATGAGCTATTCTAAACCTATCCAGAAATTTTCATCAAAATCAGGATTCACAAGGTGTTGAGGTTTTTGTCAGAACTTTCCCAGACGTTCAGAATTGAACATCTAAAGTAGGTGTCATCTAGAATCTATTTCCTTGTTGCCCCCAACAAAATTTATTTGAAAAAGAACTATTTTCAAATTCACGAGTCTGAAAATAAAGTGAACACTGAAAACATGTTTTTAAGAATTGACTGAAATTTTTTCCTTCTTCTAGTTTCATATTCAAGTGATCTTCGGAATGCTGGTTCTTTTCATTCTTTAATGTTTCGGATGATTCAGCTTATTGAAAGTTCTAACAACTTTGAAACTCAGCCATGCATCTCTCTCTATCCGTCTTTCAAAGTGCATCACTTTTCACATTTTGTATGGGTGTGAGAAAACAAGTGGTGCCGCTTACGTAATTGTGTGAGAGCCGCCTTTTCTCTGATACATGTTTTCCAGAAACTTGTCCAACAAGTTGATACTTGTCAAATTTCGAAGCAGGAACTTTTTTCCTGGCTTATAATGTTGTTTGACCCTTCAAAGCTGTGTGATATCTTGATATCTGCGACACGTAACTCGAAACTCGAGACTTTGAAAGTTTGAAACAATTGAAAGAGCAAAGACAAATGATGCGAAGTTTCCGCTATCGCATTCATCCGTCAAATACATGTTGAATATGAGACGGAGGCTTGCCACATCTGGAGACTTGAGGTCAAAAAATAAGACGGGCGACGGAGCCGTCGGAGCGGATAAAAAATTCCACCTGACAAATGCATGGAAAATTGTTGGATTGCCGTTCCTGAACCTCTCTTGAGAAGTTCGAGAATATGATCTTAGACATCAGAATCCTGATAAGTTTTTTTTTCATCAAATAATTTCCCCGAATCTTCTACAGTAGGTCCTTTGTTGACCACCTAGAACTCGTCAAAAAAAGCCACTATAGGTTTTTCGTCTTGCGTCATACCCGAATCTCTTTTTTCCGATAAGTCTGAAAAACGTGCAAAACAAGAGTTTTCGGTCACAACCTCTAACTAAGGAATCGAATTTTACACCGCTTGGGGAGGACATCCACCATAAAGCGTCCGCTCCAGAAATGAGGCCGAATGAATATTTGACTTTTGTTTGAAACCTGACACTCGTGAATTCTTCTCATCTTTTTTCTGATGCGATTTTTGTGTTCCTCTTTTTTCATTTTTCGTTTTTTTTTCCCTGAACGCTCGGGATGAAATCCGTTTAACGCTTAAATAAATTTTACAGAATTTTCGAATAATACATTTCGCAGTAAACAGTTTTATTCCAATAATCTTGAAATTTGTATTTTGACCGACATGTTGTCCAAACAAACTCAGTCAATTCGATCAAACTACTCATTACAAAAGATCACTCAGCTTTTGCATTTTATTGTCTTTCTGCACCTAGTGCCCCACTAAACAATGAATGGGTTCAGGTAACGAGCAATCTCATGACGTTTTTTTTCATGCTCCGTGAGCCAATACACGTTCTATGATGCTCCCATTAATAGGATTTTGTGAGTTCCTCTTTTCGGCTTTTCGTTGCAAAGAATGCACCCATATAACTTGATTTCTCACTTTATTCGCAGATTTTTGATTCTAAAGTTTTCGTTTTTTTTATGTTCTCAACTTTCTAAACATCATTTTGTATCCAAAAATCTAAATCCTTTTCAAATGAGTAGTAGTAGTGAAAAAACATATACCTTCATTTACAACTTCCGTGTTCTCTTTTTTCTCCTTTTTATGTGCTTTTCTTCTGGTCAGTGCACCGCTCCTACTCGAACCACGCATTCAATCCTTTCTTCCACTGCAACATTTTTGACATGTGCACTTGAAATTTGTGTTTTGTTTCGTTGACAGTTTGAGAGATGCATGATGATGACCAATTTATCATTTTTTGGAGAGGAAATTATTCAATTCTGTGCTGACTTTCGAGTGGTGCTGCTCTCCGCCTACTATACAAAGTTTTTTGGTGTTTTGATCTTTCAGGATTATTGGCCAACTCAAAAACACAAAATAGTGTGTTAGTATCTGAGTACAGGTCAATTAGGATATACAGAAATATATTTTCAGTTGTTTTTTAGCCATTTAGACCATTTTCAAAGGGTCTGAAGCTCGGCTGTCAAATTTCCGATCAATTTGAAAAATTTTAAGGGTGTAAAATACACTAAAATTGAAAACTTTGCATTCACAGAATTTTCTGAGAATTACTAACTTTTAGCTATTTTCCCATTTCTGAAATATACCCATTTTTTCCAGTGTTTGTACTGAAAGCGCTAAAAAACAAATGTCTCTCGTAAACCGACCAAACACTGGAAAACTAAAAATTTTTTGAAGTTCTGTGAATGCAAGTGTTTTGATCTAAATCTGTACGTCACACTACAAAATTTTCAAAGTGATTGGAAACTTGACAGCCGAGCTTCAGACTACTGAAAATGGTCAAAATGACCGGAAATCAACAAAAATACGTTTTCATCTAGATATTTTACTGATCGGTACTGTATATTTCAAGAACTCTTGATACAGTATCCGAACCTAGACAGTATGACTGATAAACTAGAATAGATTCTGTATCAGAAAATTCTAGAGAAATAATTATTCAAACATCCCACGGGTACATGTCATGAAATTCCCAGACACATGTTTTCTTCATAATCTCAATCTTTTGCCTGATCCACACCATCTTACAGATTCCCACTACCCCGTGATTTCTGCAATTTTTCTCTTGATCATTCTTTTTTACCTGATTTCATATTCTTAGTATTCTTCTTCTTCACTAACCCCGCCCATTTCAGGCTGGAAGCAAGCCACGCCCCATATTTCTGCTTCACCGAAAAATATCATCTCATTCATTTCAGCAAGACTAGTATTTTTCAAACCTACTCATACCAATTTAGTTAGAAATTACGTCACATAACTTTTATAAATGCATCAGTTGAGATAACTTCCGGAAAAGAAGTTGACTCCCTAGAGAGACAATGCTTGCAAGTAGTAATGGTCAGTAATCATTGAAGAGGAGGTCCAATTTTTATTTCTGACACCGCTCTTCTCATCCGCCTTCATATCCCATTTATCTTCACTTTTTTCTTCACTTTTAGCCTCATTCTGCAGAAGAATGAGAAGATAAAATAGGAGGAGTGGAGGGTGCGGAGTGGAAAACTAAACATTGAGCATTTATTAAGACGTCGAGACAAGACAACATGATCCTCTGACTCTTCAGGATTCGGGTTTCATGTTTCTCGACTCACCTGAAAATACTTTGAAAATCGTTTTTCTTCTTTTTTCCTCCTGATTCTTTATTCTTCGGATTTTGAAATTTTATTTCTTGCATTAAATTTTTCTACAACAAAAAAAAAAGAAATTGCTATTATTTTTTGACATTTTTTGGTTTTGTTCTTAACCCATAAAACCCTCAAAGTTTCATTTCGCATTCCCCCGTTTTTTTCCGTCCTCCCACATTAATTGAATTTGAATTCGAATACTAGACAAAAGGATGATATTCATTAATTTTCCTGCTATTTTCGTTTGGATCTTTATCAATTTCCTTTCTGTGCCTTCTTTTTTTCTAGAAGTGTTTTCATATAAATTATTTTCCAGAACACACTCTATTGTACTTCTCGTGAGAAATAATGGGACAGGAAAACAGCAAATGCCCTCATCAATCTCTGGCTGAGAAACGATACAAGGTTGAAAGACCGAAAACAAAAAAAGGTGAGAATCCCTGGAACGACGCGAACTTTGACGCTTTTCTCGCCTATCACACAAAATGATCGAACATATCCCACTAGAATCTTGCAACTCCGAAGTAATCCCATGGGATATGATAGGCTCTTTTTGGAGTTTCACGCGATAAAAAATAGGAATTCAGAGAATTAGGTTATTTATTTCAGTGTCGTCGGGAAGTGCCACTGATCGAAGTGCACCACAAAAAATGGACGAGGAAAGTGCACCACTTCGTCTTACCGTATCCAGTTGTGATGTGAATGCCGAGGATGATTTGCCAGAAATGCGCAAACTTTCAGTGTAAGTGTACTTGAGTAAATTTTGGGTGTTTTCAAGATGTTTGTGGTTCCTTGAAAAGAAAATTGAATCAAAAATCAGAGGGAATTGGGTAATCCGAATACCAAATTGGAGTGTGTTTTGGATTCGTCCATTTTTGGGGTTCTATTTGTAACACCACCACATAAAAAATCTCTATTAAATAATTTATGGGTTTTCTGGTAATAGGATCCTGGTCATGGGTCCCATAGGACAACCCAAGGTCAAATGTGGAGAATTCCGGATGTTGTAAACAAGTACAATAATAGAAATTTTGTACCGGTATCAATTTGTTTTTTTCAGCATGCAGCTGTTTTTCAAAATTTATTGTTTTTTGAGGAAAAAAAAATTTGGGTCTTCAACGATTGAGGGGTACAAGGGGATGCAAAGTGATTAAAGAGTACAAAATCCATGATTCGGCGGTACAAAACTTTTCAACAAGTTGTATTTTTTGTATATCTGAATTAAATTTTGTTTCTAAACGTTTTGTAGCTTTACTGAGGTAAACATTTTTCACTCAGCGATACGGATAATACAATTTATCTTGGCGTTTTTTACACCCAGTCACAAATTTCGTACCCCTGAATTAGTTGTTGCCCGCTGTATCCCCGAATCGTGGAACTACCCGAATTTTAGGTCGTTTTTTGATAATTTTCTGTAGCTTGGTTTTCAAGTTTCCAGTCAGTTAGAGAAATTTTGATGGTGTGAAACATATTTAGATTAAAAATTGCATTCACAGGATTTTTCAAAAATTTCTAGTTTCTGAGCTACGTGCCGATTGCTGAAAAACACCTGTTTTGGCCTGTTTTTGTCCTGAAGACGGTACAAAAAGCAGGAGCTCTTCAGAAATCGGGAAATAGCTGAAAAAAAAGATATTTTCAAGAAGATCTGTAAATGCAAAGTTCTCAATCTAGGTCTGTTTCACACCCTCCATAGTTTTCAAGGTAGTTGGAAACTTGACAGACGAGCTCTAGCCCAATGTTTCATGACCTTCAAGGCGTTTTTTGAAAATCTGAAATCCAATGAAACAACCGGAATTGTGTACATAGAAATCACATGAACCATTCCGGCCAAAACCAAAGCTTGAACCCTTGAACTCTCGGTTCCATTTCCAATTTCACGGCTTTCTGGTCCATCTAATGAATTTTCATCAAACGAATTTTAGATGTGAGCCTAATGAGGAAGAAGCGACATCAATGGCCAATTCAGCTGGAGCCAAGTCTAAGTGCAAGCACTTTTTGACGCGACGCGAACGCATTCTGCTGGAACAGAGTTGGAGGAAGACTCGAAAAGTTCAAATTGCACTTCTGAACTTTAGCGTATTCTTTTCTTTTTTCAGACTGGAGCTGACCACATCGGTTCCAAGATTTTCTTCATGGTTCTCACCGCACAACCAGACATTAAAGCAATCTTTGGGCTTGAGAAAATCCCTACCGGACGCCTGAAATATGATCCAAGATTCCGTCAGCACGCACTTGGTGAGTATAGATACACTTTGATGCATTTTTTCTTGCTGAAAAGAAAAATGCAGAGAATACGCGGCACGCACTTCATCTGAATAATTAATTCCAATTTATTTTCAGTGTACACCAAAACTTTGGACTTTGTCATTCGCAACTTGGATTATCCGGGAAAGCTTGAAGTTTACTTTGAGAATCTCGGAAAGCGACACGTGGCAATGCAAGGGAGAGGTTTCGAGCCTGGATATTGGGAGACCTTCGCTGAGTGTATGACACAGGCTGCAGTGGAATGGGAGGCAAATCGTCAACGTCCAACTCTTGGAGCTTGGAGAAATTTGGTGGGTGGTGTGTGGGTGGCTACAAAAATTGAGGATTTTCGTTTTAAATGACGACTAGTGAAAGTCATTTTTTCCTTAATTTCAGATTTCCTGCATCATCTCTTTCATGCGACGAGGATTCGATGAGGAAAATGGAAAGAAGAAGCTGTACAGCTACAATGGACAGGGATTTAGCTCGAATCGGGCTCGTCGTTCCGTCTCTCCATACGCTCCCAGTGTTCACTAAATAATTGTTTCAGTAATTTTTGTGGCCCCCATATCACTTTTTTCTCGCTGTCTATCCGCTTTTTAATTTTTTTTCTTTTAATTTAGTTTTCACCGTTCGTATCTGCTTTACATACCAAAAAAATAAAACAATAATCCTTCCAACAATCTCAAAATTTGTTCGCTTTTCTCTCCCATTTCTGTGAAATGATTGCTTTCCTTAATAAACCGTCTATGGTACTGTTCTGATAGTCATTTCCCATTCGATTCCCCAATTTGTCATCTGTGAATTTTACAACAAAAACAAACTCAACGAGCCCTTTTTCTCCACATTTTTCTGTAATTTCTGTCCGCTGTCTTTTCTAATAAATCACAACAAAATGAAAATAAGGAAAGTGAGAAACACTGGAAAGGCGACTTGGAAAATTTAAGGATGTTAGGATTCATTTTCTGATGATGAGATTGGACCACTTTTCACCAAATCTCAGGAAAAGTGGAATTGGTTTATGAATTTATCAGAAGTAGCCCAAATTTAATTGAAAATTTTTTCGGATAGATGTACGCAGTTCCAAAAGATGTGGATCCGAAAAATGACAAAGTTATGAAAATCACAAAAAATCTCAAAATTGAAAGCCGTTCCAATCATCCCTGTTTCTAACCTAACAACAAATGTTCAACGGAATCACATTTACAAGAAAGTAATAAAACACAAGGCTGATATCATTCACACCTATCCTGGGATATACATTTAATCAAGTCAACCCACGGTTTTTATGGGTTCCATGTCATATTTCCATGGAAACCAACTGATATCCGTCTGAATATTAGGTCCCATAAAACACTCTCATAGTTTTCCAGATCAGGTTCATTTTTGTTTTCCCTTTTCTCTCAAAATTCGGTCAATTTTAGGGTAGAACATCTTACCACTCTGACTAATGGATTCTTGGATCGTAAAACTTCTCCTCTGAAGTTCAACTTTTGTAGCCACCATCACTACACGGATGCATTTCCAAGATTGCTCTTTCTGAGTACTTCACTTCGAAAGAATTTAATCGCCGCACATCATGAATCCCTGCGCTGCTTCTAAGTTCAAACTGTATCCATCTGTGATAGTAAGCTATGATTTTAGTTTTCTTCCTTCACAAAAACATTTCAGGCTAGATTCCGCCGAACTAGTGATCAGATGATTGAGAACATGCACAAACACGTGAGTTTCGATTTTTCAGGCACAAAAGAAAAAAACATATACAGAGTGATAAGTTCGAAGAGACTGAACTGATAATATACGACCAGGCAAAGAGAATTCTGCAAGCAGCTATTGGAAAACTGGAAATTATAATTTCCTTCGGAGTGTGTGAATTCGAATATGTATGTGAAAAATGGATAGTTGGATTTAGGCATTCACTAGTTCCAGATGGACGACGTTCACAAGGCTACCCTAGATTACAACGAGTGCACAGACAAGTATGAGGATATTGTGTACGAGATTTCGAAGCTTCGGGAACATGAGCAAGACAGAAAAGAGAACTGAATCCCAAAGATCTTTTTTGTAAATATAGTACCGGTCGATAAGATACACATAGACGTGTTTGCAGTTGATTTTGATCATTTTCAGGAATCTGAAACGCGACTTTTACGTTTCCGATCACTTTATAAATTTTCGAGAAAGTAAAACAGACCCAAAGTGAAATCTGCATTGACAGAATTTTTTGAAAACTCCTAATTTCTCAGCTAATTTCCTATTTCTTTTTGTACTGACATACCCGAAGTGAATCTTAGCTTTTTCTTGAATGTTGGTGAAAAAAAAATGCCCCGTTGCTGGACTAGCACAAAACTGTTAAAATAAGGTGCCCATAGACTGGTTGAGCAAAATGGCAAAACGTTTTGTGACATTTCAAAAAAAGTGGATCAAGTCCATTCAAAAAATCATAACTTTGTACAGATTGAAGATACAACTAAACATTGAACTGTATTTCGTAGCACGGATTACAGGCTACAAGAAATTAAGAACATCTTCATTCTATTTTTGCAAGGGAAGTTTACTAGGATGGGAAGTGTCCGAATGGTCCGATTGTGTGAAATCAAAAATTTCGATTTTCGAAAAAAACGTATTTTGGAGACCATGTCTGTTCAGCTTCGTTCATGTCATAATGCACAACTATGGTCTCAAATATGTAGCTCACCGTTCATTTAAGAGATATTTGAAAAAATAATATTTTTAAACTCAATTCCATTTTTGGAATATATTTTTCCATGTAGTACATAAAAGCTCTGAGAATAAAAGCTTAAGTTGGTTTAGTTTCTTTTTGACAAAAAAAAAATCGAATCGTGATCAATAAGTCAAATTTTTCGAAAATTTTTTTTCGCATGTTATATGTGAGCGTGTATACATGAATTTGAGTTTGTAAATATTTTTTTTTCAAAAATCTTTCTTAAATGGACGGTGAGATGTATATTTGAAAAAATAGTTTATGACATGAACGGAATCGAATAGACATGGTCTCCAAAATACGTTTTTCGAAAATCAATTTCATTTTTTGATTTCACACAATTGGACCATTCGGACACTTCCCCTTAGTAAAATTATTTGCAAAGATAGCATAAAAGTGTTTTAAATTTTATGCAGCTTGTGATCCGTGCTACAAAATACAGTTTAGTGTTTAGTTTTATCTTCAATCTGTACAAAGTTATGGTTTTTGAATGGACTTGATCCACTTTTTCTGAAAAATCGCAAAACGTTTTGTCATTCTGCTAATCCTCCCTATGGGCAACTTATGTTATCCGTTTTGTGCTAGTCCAGCAACGAGAAATTTTTTGTCGCCAACATCTAAGAAAAAGCGAGTATTCATTTCCAGTACTTCTCGTGTGAGAGCGTGAAAAAACAGGCGTTTTTGAGAAATCAGCAAATAGCTGAAAACTCGAAATTTTCAAAACATAATGTGAATGGAAATTTTTCAACCTAAGTCTATTTCAGACCCTCCAAGATTTTAAAAGTGATCTTAAACTTGATAGCCGAGCTCCAGATAAATGGCCCAAATCAACTGAATAACTTGTTTTTGTATATATTATATTGACCGGTACTGTACTTTTCCCGATTCTTCTATCAAAAAATCTGTGACTAAATTTATTTGTATTTCTCAAGCGGACCAGAAAGCGGACCTTTCTGTGGTATCAACCATGTTTAAAACCACAACTAGAGTGTATAGAAGCAATGAAATTATTTTATCAATTAGTTCCTTGTCTGTTACACTTTGTCCGTACCACGCCATATTCCACCACCTGGTACGGTATCTTTGATTCGAGAAACGGCACACTTATCAGGCGATTCCTGTCAGATTGACAGCTCGGTAGTTATTTTTTTCGGACGTGCCGTCTTTTTTTTGCATAAAATGTAAAGATAAGCACTCTCTCCACCACCATTCCAAATTTATTTGGTACTCTGAACTGCGACTGGTCAAGAGGAACTGTTCGAAGAAAATGAGAAGCTTCCAACCGTACCAGGTAAGAGAATAAAAAATCAGGTGTTTATATAATAATCAATTTACCAGAAGCAAGAAAGCAAAGTGGAGCCGGTACGTCCCACGGTTATTGCAAAAGCTCCCGTTACGAGAACTAATGTGGAGCGAAAAATTCCGAAAATTCATTATATGGAAAGAGAACTGAATAATGGGAAAATGGTCAGAATTCCAGTTGTGGATGACAACGCGGTTTTTGCCCTAATGGCGAATGGTTTCAAGGTAAAGTACAAAAATTGTAAAACCCCTTTCCATTAATTAGTTTCAGAGATGCTATGCAGCGCCTGGAGATGTGGAGTCGATCGAGACTAATCCAGAAAACTTGAAACATGTGATTTGCCGACCTTCCCCATTTGTACCGATTGTAGAGCAGTTGACCCCATTTTCTTTGGTAGGTTTCAAACAAACATTCAATATCCGAATTTCGATTTCAGGCTACTCTCCTTCAACCGAGTCCCCAACAACTATATCTCTACCACGCCCGACAACAAACCCGTCGCCTACGAAGAACAAAGAATGTAACTGCTGAAGAATATGCAAAGGCTCTCGCCGGAGACTTGAATCCGCTGCTCAAAAAATACAGAACTCACAAACGTCAGCAAAAATCGTTCCCAATGGAACCGAGAATGCCACAAGGAAAATATCCAGAACCACCTCCAGCCGTCTCTGTCGCTGAGGTTTGTTAGTAATGGTGAATTGTATTTTGAGCACTTTCTATTTTCAGGAAATCTTTGTTGATGTTGAGACAATCGAAGACGAAGACAATGCTCACATTTTGTCAGTTCCACAAGATAATTCGGCAAATCTGGCAATCAGCAAATAAATCCATTTAATGTCCTTTTTTCCCTTCAAATCCGTTTCCTAGTTCGCTCATAAATTTTCATTTGTCAATTCTATTTTATTGCTTCGTCTTCGTCGTTTTCTTTGTCCGCGCCACCACGTTTGCGTTCAAACTGTCCGCCCGATAAAAAAGTCTGTGCGAAGAGAGACAATGCCACGTCAAACCTGATGCAACACAGAACAGAATTTTGTGCCGCCCCGAAGAAAGTGATAATCACAAATCAAATGCCCATAAAAATTAATTGAGTAGTTGATGGGTGAAGTGAGATTGAGAAGAAAAGGAGTGAGATGATATTTGAGTAGAGATGACTTGCGCTAATTAGATACCAATTTCAAATTAATTAAAAACCAATTAAAGGCACAATTTATTTAAAAAGTAATCGTTGTGGACAATTTTCAACCAGAAACTGTCAGTATCTAAATGTGGATCTTTTGAAACGGTGTCTTATCAACAAAAAAATTTTAACGAGAAACTGTACGAAACAGGTTCTGAAAAAACTTCTTATCTAAAAAAGGAATCAACTGTGTAGTTTTTTTTTACTTTTTTGACGTCAATACTCTGCCACTGAACAATCTAGGTTCTGGGCGAACAAAGAATTCGCAACTTTTGATTTTCCCCCTTAGACATTTCTTGTTCTCCGAAAAATCTTGTCATTTGTGTACAAATGTTCGCTTTTCAAGCTGCATTTTTTCCATGAAAGATTCAATGACATTTGCGAAGTTACGATTTATACAATTTACAATCTAGAAAAAGTGGTTCATACAAAAGCGAAAAAAGAAGTGGAGTATATATGAGAAGTTGTTTGTAAAAAACATAGCCGCCTCCGAATTTTTAAAAAAACTCAAAGAGTGATATAAGTTTTATGATCATGAGAAGTTTCGATGTAACCATGGTAAGTACTGGGGATGGATCCTGTGGGTAGAATTCTCCAATGGTGAGGGTATTCAGACGATCAGCAATTGAAGCAGATGCCCGATCCTTTTGAGATTGTTCCCACTTGGCGCATATCTGAGCCATCTTGATGAAAAATCTCGGAGTTCTGGCTCGTCCTCTTTGTGGTGGATCGCTTGGCAATTTTGAGCAATTTTTTGCCTTTTTCGGTGGTCTTGCCTGTTTCGAAAGTTTTGCTCTAGCCGGCTCCTGACGAGAAATCTCAGGCAAATGAACTGGCGTGTTACGCGTGTCTGTTGGCTCTGGTGGTGGACACTGAAATAATTTATATTATGGAAAATAGGCTCCTGAACGTTTCAGAACTCATCGTTTCGGGACCACGACGTTCCAGAAGCCGACATTTCAGAACACGACATTTCAGATGCCAATGTTTTAGAACTTTACTGCATGTTCGCATAGTTGCCCTTCAAATGAGTATTGCTCATTTCAATTTCTTGTATTTTGCTTTTTTATTCGTTCTCATCTACCGTACTCCTAATAATAATAGGTTCCCTCGGAAAATCTCAAAACATCATAAAAACTTCAACTTTTTTTCAAAAACAAATCAGAAAAACAACAAATTGAAAAAAAAAACCCCCCACTATGCAAAAATGCAGTAAAAATCTGGAGCGTCGGGTTCTGAAATGTCGTGATTCCAAAACGAAATGTTGTGATTCCAAAAAATATAATTCTCCCAATCTTACCTCCGACAAAAATGATTGAAACTCTTTTTTGTATTCCCTCGATGGAGGAGGAGTTCGTGGAGTTGGGGCTAGCATCGGAGGTTCCGTACGATATCGTGGTTTCAAGTCGGTTTCTTGGAGAATAGGGGAGAATCTCTCTATGTAGAACAATGGTGGGTCGATTAGGTTCTGAAATCATATAACATTTCGATGAATATAGCATATTTCACTTGGATACCTCATAGATGGGAGCTTCGTAAAGATTATAGTCCTGACAATGTCCGTACATCAGTCTCAAATGTCCGAGTTAGTTTGAATGCCGACTTAAATAAGGAGAAATCGATACGGAAGGCGGAGAAAAGTGATTGAAACGGTGGATGAGAGAGGGGTGTGGTGCCAGTCGTTTGGAAGAATCTATCATAGACAAAAGAAACGAATAAAATACAACGAGTGTAATTAGAAGTGATAAGGTGTTTTTGATAAATGTTCGATAGCTTGCGAATAGTTTTTTCTCTATTGTCGTTAATTTTTTTCCAAATAGACAAAGAAAAAAACTAATTCTGGAAATGTTTGGATACCTTCAAAACGAAAAACGTCTGGAAAACGGCTTTAAAATACAACTTTCACTGAATCCAACATGGACAGTTGATGTGTAGAGTGCAGCTTTCACATCAGGATTATATAGGGCCACATAGGGGAGGGGAGGATTCTATGTTTTATGACATTCGAAGATTATAGGGAGGCAAGATTTGGGATTAGAATGGGCAGAAATTGATAGGGGGACGTAGAAAAAGTGTTCAGGATAAGCAAGGCTAGTGGAGAGAAGGGGATTTGCATTCAAACGTTTGCTGCAATTATCGCTAGAACTGTTTTATGGCGGCGGTTCGGAAACATATGGACTTGAATACTGAAGAGTTATTAGGTAATAGAATGGATGTTTTATGGCTGATCCATAAAGAAAGGTTTTCTTTTCGAAACGGAGATGTCAAGGAAGAAGGAACGATTTGAAACGAAAATCTTCGTAATTTTCATTGTGGAGCGCACTTTTCGAACAAAAAATTGTGTTTCATAACAGGGATTATGAAATTGTTCATCCGGTGGACATGTGTGAATTAATACCAAACATTTTTTTCTTGAGATTCTTTTTTTGCAATTAGGTATATTGAATTATGGATAAGATAGAATATCGGTAAAATAATATAACATTGAATTTTCTTTAAAATTCAGGTTATCATCAAGAACGGAATTTTTATTGTCACATTGTATTGAAAAAATGGAGAAAATGGTTGGAACCTTTAGAAAGCAAAATTCGCAGCTGCAGTTTTTTCAAACTACAATACCGCTCAATAACATATACAAAAACATATTTTTCAGTAAATTTTTTGCCGTTCAGACCATATTCAGACACACGCTTTTCTCACGTTTTCAGTACAGAAACAGGAAAAATGATGCTTTTCAGAAGTCTGTTCACAGTTGAATAACTGAAAGTTCTCAAACAATTATGTGATTGCAATGATTCCAAATCTAGGTCTGTTCTACACCGTCGGAAATTTTCAAAGTGAGCCGAAGCGTGACAGCCGAGCTCCAGAATCTTAAAAATGGTCTAAATGACCAGAAAATTTGCTGGAGCTTCTATATTTTCTGTTGAACGGTACTAGAAATTCTGAAACTAGAAATCATTTCGTTTACACATCTCTAAGCATTTTTCAATGCAAGGAAATTTTCAACTTTGAAATTTTTTATTCATAAATCTTATAATGTATTTTTCTCTCGAAATTTTAAATGTTCAAATTGTATTCTGAGAAATTAAAAATATTATTACAGTAACACAACTGTTCCAGTATGTTAAACCAAACTACAATTAACATAAAAACAAGATTTTCAGGTCACTATTCCAACTTCTTAAACTTTAAGAACTGCTTACTGGATTTTGCCGGGGATTTTCTTATCGCGACTTTTTTTTAAATCCCACTCTTTTGTCAAATTCTCACTACATCCCAGTGGAGTTGATCCATCAAATCATATTCAACGTGCACCCAACAAGACAGTGGGCAGAACACGAGACGCAGATAGTGTAACAGAATTTTTGCAACACATTTTGTGATCCCAGCCAGTATCTGTTCTTTTTTACCCCAAGTGTTTCTTTACAATTTGTTTTTTTGCACTTTTGACTGCTTATTCAAGGAACAACAATGCTGCCAGTCAGCAACGAAACATTATAGCAGTCAGAAGAGTAGATAAGAAACCAACACTCTTATCGTGGTAACCATCTCTCCGCTAACCCTTCGAATCAACCAATGTTGTACACTCTATTGTTTATCGATTTTTTCACGTCATCGTTGGTTTTTTTTCCTATTTTTTTTCTTTTCAGAAATGGCGTATTTCATGGCAAACGCAACGAGAGAAAATTGTCAAGACGAGTGCAGATTGTCTCCGAATCGTGACGCTGTAGAGGAAGATTTGAAGAAAATCGGGGTGGAATGCACAAAGGTATGATAAACTAGTGAGCATTTTTACCATATTCCGACTAAAATTTAGGTCGATTTCGATGACGCGAATGTTCAAGAAGATTTGGATCAACTCATCAAAAAATACAATATGAATTACCACGACGAAATTCACATTTGCCGAGAGACCATGCCAAACTTTGATGAGAAGGTACTAGATTTACCTCTAATCAGCCTTAAACAACAATTTTCAGTTGAAAATCTTCTTTGAAGAGCATCTCCACGACGACGCTGAGCTAAGAGTCATTAAACACGGAGCCGGATATTTTGACGTGAGAGCCAAGGATGTGAGTTTGGATCGGTTATGATTAGTTGAAAAATTGCAATTTTAGGAGCAATGGATTCGCATTCCAGTCCGTCGTGGTGACTTTGTCTTCTTACCACCGGGAATCTATCATAGATTCACTACGGATCGCTCTGTGAGCTGCGCACACCGCCAATCAAACCTTATTTTTTCATTTTTCAGGAAGACGTCGTTGCTCTTCGCCTCTTCCGCAACAATCCAAAATGGACTGCTTTCAACAGAAGTGAAAACGGAGACAAACAACCAATCCGAGAGCAATACTTGAAAGATGTTTCTGCATAAAGTATCCAATTTTTTCCTATTTCCGAAAATTTGTGATACAGATTGAATGCAATAAACTAGCTGTGATTTATTGCGTTTTCATTATTTTCCTTAAAATGGCGGGATCATTTCCTTTCACTTTTAAGTCAAAAACGTTATTTTCTTGATTTATTGAGACATTTCGTAAACGGGAGATGATAAAAAAATCGGATTGGGAGAAATGAATAAATCACATAGATCGGGGAGAAAAAAAAGGAATAATCACGGGAGAAAATTTTGAAAATTTTGATTAGGAATGGGGGTTGGAGTGATGTTAAATATGAAGAAGATGGTCTGTACACGGACGACTGCTTACAAAAGGAATGGGATGAGAGCCTTCCGATGTGGTGGATACTCTGGGAACTTTTCCTTGTACCATCTGAAAAAAACAGTGAGTATTTTTTACAGGTTTATACGTGTCAAATGAACCGAAACTCAACAATTCAGTTGTCCAGGCTATGGAAATTATCTATGAGGTCAATTTAGAATTCAACTCGAAGTTTCTCGGTAATTTTTTTCTGGACATCTGCGCTCTTGCAAAATAAAATTAATTGAAAGTTTCCTGACATGAGACAGGAAGCTAACAGAAATTCTGCAGATAGGCTGAAAAAAGCGACGCAGAAAGGTGACTTCTATAACACGACCGGATCATTTTTCTTCAGCACTTTGACAGCCTTTTTGCAGCATTTTTGGAGCCGAAATATGATTCTCACCGTTTTTGCTAATACAACCTGTCTTCAGCACTTCTGCAAGCTGTCTGCGTCATACCTTATCACTATTTATGACTTTTCAAAGCTAGGCAGAAATTTTGCAATAAGTTGTTGAGAAACATCAAGAAATGCTTGAAACATGAGCTAATGCTGAATCAAAAATACTCTACAAAACAAGAAAAACTTACGCATGATGACTGATCGCTCGTGGTCCGATGTTGGAAGCGGTGAAAATGGCGAAGGCGAGAGCTGGAAGATTCCAGGCCATGATTGCGTATCCGGTCCACTCGACAATTTCTCCAAAGTAGTTTGGACAGGAGATGTGCTCATACAACCATCCCTCTGGAATCTTGTATCCAGTCTCTCCTGGAGCTCTCAAGTTGAACAGGATTCTGTCGGCCTTGTGGTTGATGTACATTCCGTAGAAGAATAGGAGAGATCCTGCGAAATATTGGTGTTGGTGGGTGTTGTATGTTTTTTCACTGAGATAATTGGGAAATCAGGAAAGCTGGGGGAAATCTCGGGGATTAGAAAATTCGCCATAACTTTCCCACTGACTAGAATCTCACGATACGGCTACATTTTCAACAAAGTCTAAAGGATGCTCGTGTTGTTTGGTGGATACGTTCCATTACATTACCTTACATGCTTATATTTCGTTTGAAAAAAGTTATAGATTCTGTCAAAATGTGTGGAATTTTCTGCTTATTTCAGAGTATACTCCGAGAAAACTGTACTAATTTTTCTACTTGTACACTCTGAAACGGAGCAAAGAGAGCTAAGCTTCATAACATTGAAGCGGAATATTTTGTAATTTCATGAGGGCCCTTCTAATACAGGTTTTACTATATTTTTTCCAAAAAAACTCACCAATATAATGACGAGCAGTAAGCGCTCCTTCTTCTGGTTGATAAAAGGCATTCCAATATCCTTGCATAAATCCGTTGTAGCAGCAGAAGAAAATTGCCGACAGCATGATGTACAATGGAGAAACAGTAGTGGAACGAATTTTTAATGGGAAGATGAACACTCTGAAATATATAAAATTACATGGAATTCTGAAAAATCAATCTGACCTGTTGAAATAGTGGAGAAGGAAGACACGAGTCAAATAATGTCCTGAGTTGGAAGTTCCGTTGAAGAGATAGTAGAAGGGAATGAAGAAAGACGGTGCCTCTTGGATGAACCATGCCAATCGTGGACTGATTCCAAGACGAGCAGTATTAGTGTATCTTCCATATCCAGCAGTCAATCCGAATCGTAAAGCAGCAAAGACCACAATGGCACTGGCTATCATTAGCCAAGCCATGGTAAGGATGGTTTCTTCTTCCAACTGGATCATTGAGGCTAGAAGCTGAAATCAAAATCACTTGTAGATAATTAAGAAACGGGAATTGAGAATATTAAGAGTTGTCTGGAATACTGACAAGGGAATCAACAAGAAAAGAGATGCGAAACGACGAGAAGAAACCTTATCGTTTGTGCCACTCGCTAAATAAATAACCAATGTGTTTTGCAGTTTAGTAGATAGTAACAAGAAAGAAGAAACGCAGACACAAAAAGAAGAGACTATCCGGAATGAGGTCACCCGTAACTGTGTATGTGTGCGGGTGGCGAATTAATTGGCATATACTGAGACAGGGCTAACAAGGGACGGGTACGTTAAGAAGAGGTGCATTGCCCGTTTTCGCGCGGCGAGTGACCCGAGAGAGCGGCAAACAGTGGGTGATATGGTGTTGTTGTCGGAGAAGAGAACAGTTGTTGCGGGATGCCATTCGTCAATATGTGACACCTAGAAAGACTAACAAAGGGCTCGGAAGATGAAAACAAATATATAATCTACGTACATTGCAACAAAATGTCTTATATTGTAATACAAAACAAGGGAACAATTTCAGAAAATAAGTAAGTTAGATATGACAAAGATCAAGGTGAGAAAATAAGAAAAAGTATCAACTCTATGTCCCGGAAGGGTATAATGAAGAATCTGCACATTTCGTTGGGCACGGTTTTCAAAAATGCCAGGAAAGCGTCATTTATAATTTTTGGTGTTTTCAAAAGCCAAACGCTTTGTGTCAAAAGAAATTTCTGAATGAGAAAGTTGTTAATTCATGCATATCGTTCAGAAAAAGCTCCAAATGAGAATAACCATGTTTTCAAGCCTTATATGGAATAAGAGCCAAATATTGAGATCGGCAAATCTCTCCGAAAAATCAGAAAACGCGCAACAACGGTTTCCAAGGTTTAAAAAGCAACAGAGAATGAGAACTTCAAAATTTCAGACGCTGAGATTTATGACACATTTGGTAACGATGCTGAATAAAATGAGCTGAAAATCACCCGGATTGTAGTTTTGTTATATTTAAGAAGTAGGATAAATGAACACATAATTTTTGAATTTTTTTGTCAAATAATTCCGAGAGTGAAGCTATGGTCAATTGAAGGAGTCTGTGTTGTTCAGATACCCAAAGTTGACCAATTTGAGCTGAAAACATATATTAAATAGCTAACACTTTGGTAAGTACTGTCATCAAATTTTAGAGAAAATTACTGATGAAAATTCAGCTGATCCCAATTTCTATAATTTTGTAAACATTTAAAATCTTTACATATTCACAATCCTCAAGTCCCCCGAGCTTCTCTCCATAAACCTCGCTTCCCAATGTCGTAAGCATCGATGACATCAACATGCTTGACATGACATATGAGAGCATCTCACTACAGTAGTCGAGGTAAAAAATGACGCTTCTCTTCTCAAATCCGGAAAGAAAATTGATGCTTTTCGAGTAAGGGGTACATCTCAGTTTTTCATCTGAATGAGTAATACGAGCGCGAAAAACATAAATCTCAGTACTCTTGGGGTGTCCATTTCCATGAATCAGAAAACCTTTCCTATTTCATGTGTCTTCCTAATTACTCATCTGCTCTTCTTCTTCTTTTACTACTTTCTTGACCTATTTCGAAACAAAACAGGCACATTAGCATAAAATAAGAAATTGAGGAAAAAAGGATGAAAGAGAATGAAAGTGTTGTTTTTGCCACACAAAGCTAAGAAGCATGAGGGTCCTCGTCGGATGCACATAAAGTGGCCAAGGTTGCCAGTGACAACGATGATGTGTCAGCAAGAGACTGCAAAATGTTGGAAAAAAAATGGCGTGACTGCTTAAGAGGATTTGGATAGCAATTATAGAATGTTGCTCTTGATGTACAGAAACAAAAAAAGCCAAAAATCTGGGAGACGTGTACATGCCAATTTTTCAGAAGATTTTCTCATCTTACATGGAGCATGAAATCGAGAGAAGACAGAATGTTGCGAGAAAAGTGCGAAAATTCCCAGGACAAAAAAGCTACTAGCCGTCTGTCTGACGTTGCTGATGAGAATTGGAGTAAACTTTCGAGGCTGGATATGTTGAGACCGGAAATGGAAATGATATGCTTGTAGATAGGATTATCAAAACTTTGGATTTTTCCGGGTGCCCTTTTCTTTGCAATAGGCAAAGTTCATTTGATTCTGATAAAGCTACAAAAGGTCAAAAGAGCAACACTCAAAGTAAGTGGTCTGACAACTTCGGAAGAGCAATCGAAAATTCTTAAATTCCCAGATGACTACTTTTGCTGTTCCCGTTTTGGATTAGGTCAGAAATTTCTGTTCGATTCAAATTTTTCTACCTTATTTGAACTAATGGAGGCCAACCTTATGTGTGCACTTTCAGCTCCTTTAAGAAATATAAAAATTCTGTCAACTTATACAATTTTGGCAAAACCATGATAAATAATTTATCAGTTGACAGATTTTTGACATCTCTCATAGGAACCGAGATAATTGAGGGTTTGCTTTCGTTAGAGTGATTATGTTTTTCAAAGAAAATTTAGGAATTTTCGGCTTGAAAACTTTAGAGCTTTTTGCTCAATTTCAAAAACGTATTACAGAATGGAAACCGACAACAATTCTTTACAAAATTCCATAAAAATTGAAAAACTTTTTTCCGCATTCCAAGCAATAATAAACTTCTACCCTCATTGGAAAGTCATAATAAAACAATCGCGAGATGGAGAATACTGATCTCTAATGAAAGACCAATGGTTCTCAACAACCTGATCTCATACACCATTTCCTTTTTATCCCTCCAATTGGTGCTCCATAGCTCCTGTGTCATCCTGTATTGCATTCATAGACAAATGTCTGTTTCATCTCCCAACACCCGGTTCTTCCACCAATTTCTTCATGAAACACAAGCACGCCTACTCACTCCTTGTTACAAACCAATCTCGAGGTACCCGCGTGAGCTTATGAAGCATACGTCTTCTTTCCGTCCTGACCTCTAATTATAATCTCCTTTTCCCGATTGTTTACTGATCACCTTGCCAACCACGTGTTTTAGAGAGAAAGGACAGTTGGAAGGCTCCAGGCAACGGAAATTTGAAATCATTCTACATTCTATTTTCCACGAGTGAGTGCGCAGCAACAACATGCATATCCACACATCCCATTATTTCTATCATATGTGCTTTTTCTATATTTCATTTGTTGCCTTTTCCGTGTATACATATGTTGTTAGATTCTCTTTTAAATCACGATTCTTTTACAGAAAGCTGGCTGAAATTATGGAGAACGCAGTGGAAGTACAAACAATGAACCTTACCGAGCACATTCTGGTAAGCCAACTAACGAAAATGAATTTCCAATGATAAAATTTGCAGGATGTTCTCCGTCAAGCTCATTTTGTTATTGGACAACGTCTCCAGTTAATTGTAAGTTTAGTTACGTGAACGCGATATAGGACTTTCTAGGACTATTGAGCAAATTTTACCTATATTAGAAAGGCCCCGTTCATAATGAGTTGTTTGAAATAATCAATTTCCGTACGTTTTCAGTGAGAAATGTTCTGGAAAATTCCGCAAATTTCCAGAAAGTTGTGGAAACAATTCTTTTTTGCTCAAAAAGTTGACCGAGTTTTATTAGGTCGGAAGGAAAGTAACTGTCTATTTTTTTAATTAGTAAATAAAACAAAAACAAAATTAATCCAAGATTGACAGTATGTACCGGCCTGATCAACAACATGTTGTCAACATTTAGGTAACTTGTGGATACCATCCTTCCAAAAGCTAGCTGGCCGGGAATCAAAGTTTAATTTCGAAGTATCACTGGGAAAATAAAAGCGCGCAATTGAATTAAAAAGCCCCTGTCACTAAATAGAAGCCCCTCTTGAGATACCTCGGATTGTTCGAAGGTCTTAATAATGTATTCTACCAGCCGGTTAGTCTCCGGCGCTTCAAACGTCTGGCTGGTGCGCCTACGGAGCGTTTTTATCGCTTCACTACTAACTTTTTAATTAAAACACAAACAATTTTTATAATAATGATATATTCTTTGAAGCGGGTTCTCATTGCCAGAAAGAAGTCCCCAATTTCAACAAAATGTTTGGATTATTAACAAAAAGTCTCATTCACATAATACTCAAACTACTGAGAATACTACATTCAAATTTCAATCACATCCCTACACCATTCTTACTTTATTTGTATTTTTGCAGAACCAAAATCCAAACGGTGAGCAGTCGGAATTGTATCAGAAGCTTCGTATCCAACTGGCGTTCATCGACGAAATGATGAGATTGGGAAGACGCCCACTGAGTGTAGAGGACCAAGTCTGGCTTAAGGATGCATTGAAGAAGGTTTCTTTTTTTGAGTGATTTTCAATTTCAAAGCTTCCGAAGACAGAACGACCCGATGTGAAAATTGCGTTTGATTTAACTTTGTGATTATAATTTTTTAACCTATCTATCTGTATATTTTCATTTTGTCAATATGAATAGGTACTCAACGTTCTCAATAAAACTCTACTAACAAACTCTCTGCAGAAACTCTCCAATTTCAGAATCTGTAAAAAAATGGGATCGCTAAAAATCACATAGAAAAGTTCAAAAAACTCCCTTATGAAAGTTTTTAGTCACTGTCTCACGAAAGTTAGCAAAATTAGTACAAGTTCCCACAATTGAATAAAAGGTTTTGTCTAGAAACGTAGTGCTCTCTGACTTTCAGAATTTAGTTTCAGTTTTCAAGTTTCCTCTTCATTACTTACTTTAGTTTTCTGAAGTTTCATTTATTTTTCTGAATTTCCTTTTTTTTTTTTGAAAACAATTCCAACTACCGTAGTCTTCATCTGAAGAGTCTGATATTAATCAAACTTGACAGAGTGTAGTTCTAGAGCGTTATTCTGTCTCATCCATTTTATAAGGACCACTCCCGAAAAAAACCATCAATCTAATCCTCATTTGGTGAGCCAGGAAAACGGAGAAAAATGAGAACGCATCTCCTCAATATTCTCTTCTTATGAGTCCAATTTTTTTTCTGTAAATTGTAGGCATTCTGCGTTATCCTATATATACAATGACTGTTATTATTCATTGTCGCAGATTCAGACTTGCGGTTTTTATGCAGCGATTCTCATTTATATGTTCCGAATTGCGTCATTCCGCTCGCCACATTCTAAAAAGAGCCGAAACTCTCTGATTTGCTTTTTCCTCGGAATCTGGTGACATTATGTTGCTCATAGAAACGCTTTTATGGACTTCGAATTTCTTCAGTGGCTTTCTTCTCTATTTTTTATGTTCTTCGTTGAAAACAAAAATTCCAGAGCTACAAATAACATGAATCTAAATACCATTAGCATGTATATCAACCCAATGAACATCAGATTCGAAACTCACGGACGCATTCTCGCTCCAGCAGTTTTGGTAACTTGAAACCAATATAACACCTATTTTCGGTTTTCAGGATGAACTTGAAAAACTCAGAGATGTCTTGACACGCCGAATGGATATTGAGGTATGATATCGAAACCCATAAATCGTGAAGCCTAATTTTCATTTCTTCCAGAAAATAAAAACACTCCGGAGACGCTCCGAGAAGTTCCAGGCTCTTCGGCGTCAATTCATGGTGGTCTGTGAGGTTCTGAGAATCGGACGACAGGGCTACACGGCTGCTCGCATGCAGCGTATTGCCACAATAGTTGTGGGCAATGAAATCCACCCGATTCCGGATAACTAAATACCTTGAAACCTGTAATAGAATGGCCCACTGACTTTTAGCTTTGAGTTGACTTTTCTCGGTTTTTGTTAAAGATACTTTTAGAAACGTTGTCAACTGATAAACTGTTTATCAAACTGTTAGAAGTGTTTTGTCAAACTGTTAGAAGTGTTTTGTTGGCACATTTCTGAATTATCTCACTTGACAATTGGGGGGGGGGCACTCTATTAGAGGCTTTAAGGTATTTTTGTATTTCATTTTCTGTGGACCTGAATCGGAAAAATAAAAGAATTAATTTTTTTATTGTTTATAAATTAAAATACAAATTATTTTCAAATCCAGGTGTAATATCATTATTATGTGCGACAATTATAAGTTGAAGAGTGTGAATCCAAATAAGTGAAAAAGCAGAAGTTTTAAATTTGGAGCCACATGTGCTTGAATCAGAAAATCAAGACGCGCTCGTGCTCGGTTCCTCCAGCATTGATGCAGTTCTCCTGAACTGTTTGCTTTGTCTCGTGGACCACGATTCCGAGCTCTTCCATCTTCGAATTTGTTTTTTGAAGCTGAATTGGAGATATCGATTTGATTTTGTTGTATTCAAGCCTACCTTCTCTAAAGTCGCGGTTGCTTTTCTTCTTCCAAGCTCGTTTGTTTTTCTGACGGCGTTGAAGTCGTAGTAAGCATCAAGTAGTTCACCGAGTCCCTGTTTGTGTTTCTTAGCAGCCTCGGCGTAGTAAGAGATGAGAAGTTTGACATCAGCGACGTACATACGGAAGGCTCCAAGATAAACCAATCCTTTCGGGCTGAAAACAACTGAGTTATAAAATAACCTCTTATCTTCATACTTACTCTTTGGTCTGAATTTTCAGATTGAATTTCGACACGTCTTTCTTCACCTTCTCAACGTTTTTCATCATCTCACCAGGTAGTTTGTTCTCAAACTCTTTTGTTTTGAAATCATCAATCCTGACACGTGTCTTAAAATTTCCCCAAATCTTCTTGACCTGTTCTTGCGCATTGTCGGCAACTTTTATAGCTTTTTGTGCCATTTCTTTGCGATTAGCGCAAGTTTCGAGTATCTCCTCACTGGCTTCGTAATCAGGAAGCGCCATAGCATTTTGGCAAACGTTGGCGAAGGCAAGAGTGTTGTTAGCTTGACGTTTGATGGTTCTTAAAGTGAGATGGAAGCTGGAGACAGAATCGCAGCTTTTTTGATCGGCTATTTCCATGCTTCAAAATATATTTGTAAGAACAGTATAAAGAAAAGGGGCCGCTTACCGTGCTTTTAAAGCTCTGAGCTCAGTGTTGATAATTTCTTCCTTTGGAATCTGTTGGAGCATTTCTCTGATTATCGCAAACTCCAACTTCTTCAATTCATTGAAATCGTCTTTGATTTCCCCCAACAGTTCATGTGCCTCCACATATTCGAGAGCGAACGAGATTTTCTTGACGATACTTTCAGTTTCCTCAGTGCTCGGAATATCAAGCTTTCCCTATGATAAAAATCACTGAATGCTTAAAAACCCAGCTACTTACCTCTTCAAGATAGAACTTGCAGAGACTCTCAAGTGTGACCATTTCCTTCGTGAGAAACTCCACCGATGTCTTCTTCTTCATTCTCTTCAGCGACACGGTGATTTTCATAGTGTCTTTGATTCTGTGGATGACGTTTTCCACAATATCAGCAAGCTTAACTGATCCATCGGATGTAGATGGATGCTTGTGCTTCATCATCGTGAAGTCGGACTCGGAAAAGGAAAAGAAGAAAAGAGGAGCGACTCCTCAGAAGAAAGGGTACTGCCCGAAAATGGAGAAGGGCCGAAATGGAGAAGGGCTATCGAAAATGAAAGTTGGGGCGGAGACTAGCACGAGGAGCCACGCGCTGCTCTTTACGAAAACCATTAATTACCGCCGATGCCAGGTGTCAGCTGGCTCTATATTTTTTGGGATGATGTATAGGAGAAAGTTGTACTTAAGGTTATGGAAAACTTCTGAGATAATTACAGGTTACGCACTCCTCCACATTATGCACTTTGAAATAGGTCGAGTTCAGAGATCAGTGAAATTCTAATTATATATTTGGTTCTTGATAGACAGAAACAAAATATTGTTTTTAAAAGCGATGAAATTTTTGTTTGTAGTTTGTTCTTTCCACCTACAGTTTGACTTCAAGACTCTTCCTGGTTTTTGTACAGATAGCTTATGTCCAGAAGAATCTTTTCCCTAGAGTGACATCCGATCGTCTCCGTTACCAGGGTAGCCGACTATTACATCCCTCCTTTCCCACCCCAATTCTTCACGTTACTCCTTTCTTTCTGTGTTTTGACATCCTTGTTGAAATATCACGCGACTACTCCTCTTCAGAAAGCTACAAATTACTCTCTTTACTGCTTGCCATTCTCAACTGCTTACTTGTTTTCAAGAATGTCGGACCAATATCATAGTGATATCATGGCTCATCGGAGCAAATATGACTATGGAGGGAGAAATCTGTGCCCTGCTGTCATAGTAAGTTGGACTAGAATGAATCTTAGTGATATCATGAAACACGTGATTTCAGGAAGCTCTGGACAAGGTACGCATCGTCAACAAAAAGCGAATGGAGGCAGAAGTATGCTAGATATCCTAAAAGATTCTTTCAACTTTACATTTTTTCAGATGGCATCTCCTTTGGGCGCCCAATCGGCCATTTACGTTGCATCTCACCGCCAACTTCAAGTACTCGACGAAATGATCCGCGTTGGAAGTAGACCCTGGAATCCGCGAGACCTTCTGGCTCTTCTCAACATGGGGTTCTTCCACCAAGAGTTATATCCGATAGGCATGTATATCCAAAAGAAGCCGGAAAAGGAAGGGAAACAAATGAAGTGAATGTTTCGCAACTAATGCATCTCATTTTCCATATCACGATCTATCTTTTTCTTGTGTTTGTGAAAAAAGATTCTGATAAATCTAGATAAAATTGGACAAAGAATAGTCGTTTATATACAGTAGAAACATTGATATACAAAGTTAGGTTGTCATAAATTAAGTTCTGCAATCGTAGAGAAGAAATATGACCTCCAAGAAGCGTTCACAGTATTTCATTAATGAACAGCATGGTGTGCAACACTTGCAGCACTCGCAGCATTTGCAGCATTCCTTTGGTTTTGGCTCCTCCGGTCGCACATATGGGAGGAAGCTCAAAATAAAAGTTTTGAATAAATAGGGATCTGAGAAATTGGAATTTCGAAAAATCGAAACATATTTCTTTCGATAACTGAAGTTTTTATGAATTGATCAAATTTTGAAACGCCTATTTCAATTATCATTTTCTATTTCCCACCCCCCCCCCACCCTAACTCCTTACGTCACTCCCTCCGGCTGTGGTTGAGCTGTAACCGTTTGCACAATCGATGTGTAGTGTACTGCAGCCGCCATTTCGGAAAATAAAAACTACAACTTTTCGCGATTTCAAAAACGAAAGTGAAGTTGGAAAAATTTCTGTCTAGCCGCGAGGGGTCCTGAGGTCTCCAGGCGACCGTTTCTCGTTACATGGCACCGAATCACGTGTCCGAGGTGGAACTGAGTAGTCGAATTTGTATTATGGAAAATCGAAAATGATTTTAGAGAATTACGAAATCTATCTGGTAGATCCACAGGGATTTTCGGAACAGAAAACTCCAAAACTTGAAAACTCCAAAATTTCAAAACACCGGAACTTTGAAAAATCCAAAATATCGAAACTTCCAAGACTACTGAAAATACGAACTTTTGAAAGTTCTGAATTTCCGAACCTTCTAATCTCCACAAAATTTCAAAATTTTAAAAAATACCTAAAATCAAAAAAATATGATTTTCCGAGAAGTGGGAAATATTGAATATTCTTTTATTTTCCAAAACAGCACAACTTTTCAATCTTTCGAGAAATTCCGACTTTCCCAAACCTCTAATATTTCCGAAATCCGAAAGTTCTGAAACTTTAGTTTTGGAAATTTGGATGTTCCGAAACTCCGAAAATTCCGAGAAGTAAGGGGGAAAATTCGGAATAAAATTCAGATTTGAATATTTTCTAAGGTTTTTCTTGGAATCCAACTCCGATCAGAGTTTTTCGAAGCCTTTTTTCGGAAGTAGAGATTTTTGGTCTACGGTTCGTCTAAGGCGCACGGGAAAAATTTGCTTGCTGGTCTCGAAATATTAAGAACTATTGAAATTTTTGAATTGTCAATGTCTTTCTGCCAATTTTAACCAGTTTTTGGCATTTTTGTGGTAAAAAAAATGGAAATTTCTTTAAAATTTCAAAATCTTCCTTATATATAAAACGCTAGGTGCGTCTGTCCGTCATAATATCAGTCTGTCAAATTTCGGTTTTTTGATAAAAGGTTGACCGCCACCAAAACCGAATCGGCGACCTTCAGCACAACGGCTGCGCATTCACATGGAAACACATGGAAAGGGAAGGAAGGGCGTAGATGTTCTATAGTTTGAGAAAGAAAAATCGAAATGTGAGGAGGGGAGCGACGAATAATCAAAAAACAAAACCGAATTTCGGAAATAGGAAAATTCCAAAATTACAAAATGTTCAAAATGATATTTCAAAATCCCGAAAATTTTGAAATCGGAATATTCCGAAATTTCAAAATTTCAAAATCGGAATATTCCAAAATTCCAAAATCTTAAAAACTCCAGAATCGAAAATTTCGAAACTACGAAGTTTTGAAAATCGAATTTTTCGATATTCCTTAAAAATTCCGAGATTTCCTTTCAGAAGATCCCTGAAAATGCATGATATAAGTTGTCATGATTATTTTATTGAAAAAATTTTCCTGAATATATTGGATACAATAACATGAAAAGAGACACGATTACAATAGAAGAAAATCATTAAGACAAAGTCATTCATCAAATTGCGACACGACGAAGCTCCATATCAGAACCAACATACAATATTGGTCGACATTTAAAGCCGAACCATGCTTCCATGAAGGTAGTTTCAAGAATCCACTGTGATTTCCCTTCCTTCGCCAACAACGCCGTCATGGTATTTAGCATAAACATATCCGTGTGAAGGATATAGGAATCCACTTCGAGAAGAGTGTTGTAAAAAGAAACATATTTTGACTTGTCCTTGGTTGCAATTTCCAGGTTTGCCCAGCAGTCTCTTCGAGTTTGAAGCAACTCCTTGGTCAGTTCGGCTTCCCATTCTTTCGGTTTTCCGAGTTTAGAAATTGCAATGTTGTATGCTATTTTCAGTTTGGCATCTTTGTTTTTCGCTTTTACGAATACTGAAACAAAATTTTTTTAGAAGCATCTCCAAGTGGTGTCAACCCACTTTTACTTTCGAAAATGGTGCGTGACATTGTCTTTGCTTCAGCATTGATAACCTCCACAAAAAACAGCTTTTCTTTCTCTTCGAGATCGGAAAATGAGAGATCTTCAATATTGGCAGCTCTCAAATCGAAAACTTGGGGCTGCCAAATGTAGAAATCTCGAACCATTTCATAATAGAGTTGGGCATACTCCTCGTCCTTCTCAACATCAGCTTTTCCCAGAACAAAGCACATATCTTTTAAAACCATGTGTCTTGTGAACAATGACTCCTTTAACATATGGCGAATGTAGCTATAAAATTCTCCCAGCTTTTTTGCTTCTGCAGTTTTTTGGGTAGAGTAACGTTTGATTCGCTGGTCAAGATGTACGGAAACTGCTCCTTCAACTTCATCCTCTTCTGGATCGAAAACATGTGCTAAATCGTCTTGCCAAAAGTGAAGAATCTTGTCGTAGAATGGGTGCAACGATTCTCGTTCTGAAAAATTATGTATATATTAGGTTGGCAGGAAAGTGACTGTCCCTTATGCACCGTCGTGGTCCACGACATGTTGGCAACGTTCAGATAACTTGTGGATACAATACCTTCAAAAGCCAGCTAGCCGCGAATCAAAGTATTCATTTTTTCCTGTTTTTCACATAAATGGTGCAAATTTTCGTATTCTCTAGATGAGGTTGTATCTCTCCGAATATCCAATAATCTGATAGAGCTCAGCCGGGACTATAAGTAGGTGAGGGAGAACGGTAACACTGAAGCTGCTCAGGTCTGACTTGACTGCAGGTAAAAAACAAAAAAAAACCTCATGTTCACGGAAAGTCACGCCGTACCTGAGCCGCTTTGGCTGAACGGTTCTCCTTTACCCCCGTTAAAGATTTGATTCAGCTCTATCAGATCATTGGTTATTCAAAAGTATACGACGTCATCTGGAGCTTAAGGACTTTAACACAATTGATGCCTGAAAAAATGGACTGGAGGGATACTTTGACTTGCCACTAGCTGGCTTTTGGAGAGATGGTACCCACAAGTTACCTGAACATTGCCAACATGTTGTGGATCACGACGGTGCATATTGCTAATTCTGGTATATATATATATATATATATATATATTGTGAATGCTATTGTGAATGCACGATATTTTTTCACGTTGAGCATAATTATCTCGGTCAAAAAATTTTCAAATGATAAAACCTTCCTCGTGGTTTTTCGCTATTTTAACTGTGAACAGAATTCTGGAGCTCGGCTGTCAAGTTTCCGATCACTTTGAATATTTTAGAGGGTGCGAAACAGACCTAGATTGAAAATATTGGGCTTACAGAATTTCTCAAAAATTCCTAGTTATTATTTACTTGTCGAATTAAAAAACGCGGATTTTGGTCCAGTTTTGTGCTGAAAACTTGAAAAAACATATTTTTTAGAAATCGGCAAATATTTGAAAAACAAGGAATATTTTTTGTAATTCTGTGATTTCAAAGTTTTCAATCTAGGTCTGTTTTACACCTTTTAAATATTGGAAAATATTCAAAATCTCAACAGACGCGTTTACGAGAAAAATGACCGAAAATTAACACAAAAAACGTTTATGTATCCCAATGACTGGTATCTCAATAACTGGTACTGTATCTTATAAGATGTGATTCAAATACTTTAAGAAATTGAGATAACTGAGCTCAATGAGAAAGAATAGGGGTAAATCAAAACACTGACTTTTGACAAATCCGAAATAGGTGAAATTCACAACTCCCACAAACGCGAAGTATTGGGTGATCATACTTTTCATGATCAGAAAATCTTCATTCTCTTTGATGGCCATTTCCAGAGGTTTGTCGTCTTCTTTACTTCTAAAAACAAAAGTATATGTATATATATCTAGAAAAATGATGTTCTCAACTTACTCATTTCGTGACGGTTCCTGCTTTTTTTTGAGATTCTTGTTCTTGTTCTTATTTTTAGCCTTTTTCTTTTGTTGCTTGGTTGCAGATTTTTGTCCAGCATTCGCTGTCTGTGTCTCTTTCTTGGCCTTTGTATCCATGACGTCACCGCTGTAATAGAAAATTCGTTCAAATTTTCCGAGATTTTTATATTTCCCACATTTGCTCTTTTTCGCCTCCCACCACTGCTTCCAACGATGAAATCACTTTCGTAGTCTCCTCTTTGTCGTAAACATAATCAGAATTGTTGAGAATATGGCTCTCTTTTTCTTCATTAGTTTTCTCATCAACTTCTTGATCCATTTCTTCATCGCTAGCGGTTTCGGATAAACTTCAAGAACTCATTTAATAAATATAAATAGTACATATCAGCTAAACACTAACCGCTCTCTATCTAGACTCACAACGCCAGAAAATGAAGAAGTTTTTGTACTTGCTTCATTCAAAATGTCATTTGATTCGTGAGTTTCTTCTTGGCTTGCATTTTGTAGGCTGTCAGGGCCAATAAAAGAATACATCAGGGATTCCATGCGTTCAGGGCTGTGAAAAGAAAATATCAGGAAGTTTATCCCTGAGGTGACTTACTAAAATTCCGGCAGTTTTACAACTTTCTCTGCAGAGTCACGAAGATCGGAATAAATTTCACCTTCATTCTGCTGGGTCCCACGTTCTGTCGAGGCTTGTGTATTTTCCCTTGTTGTTTCTTCATTTGCAATTCTGAAAGATAAAGAATTTTCGAAATTCGTGATGAGTTTTTTATAATTACTTACAGTTCCTTGTCAACAACTGGATTCACAATTTTCTCCTGAGCATCATTAAAATTATACTCAAGTTCCAGCAGTTCTTTTTTTGCAGAGTCACAGAGTTCTGCGGGAGTGTCACCTTCACTTTGCTGCTCCACACTCCCAGTCACAGCCTGTGTATTTTCCCCAGTTTTTTCTTCATTCACAATTCTGAAAAATGACGACTATCAAAAAATTTGCAATGAATTTTTTGAGTTACTTACAGTTCCTTCTCTGCAACTGGATTCACGTTTTCCTCATCACTACAACAGTAATCACAAGCGCAGATGGAAAACTTCCGTTTCACTTTTTGAGATTGAAACCACAGCTGGCTGGCAGTTAACTCCAATATTTGAACCTGTTGACGCTCGGGTTCACATTTGGTGATTGTCTTTCGAATTTCAGTAGGAACTCCCCTGTCTTGCCATTCACGATTGTTCTCAAAAACCAATCCACATCCTTCCATATATTTGACAATCCCATCGGGTGAGAGAACATCCGTAAGGTGGACTTCTGTGGAGGCAGATACCGTTGAGACATTATTTTGACCGAATTTTTTGGCTAAAATAGTCCACTGTTTGAAAAAAAGAGATTATGATTTACCTTTGGCTTCAAGCTCTTCAACCAATCGTTCGTTCTCTTTTTTCAATTTTCTCATATCCTGCTCAAGAAGTTTTACATTATGAACTGCTTGTTGTGACAGTGAAATAAGTTGTTCATGGGTTAGGTTTTCAATGTGAGCAGGCTCCCGATCTGAGAATCTGATGATAAGAGGGAAATAGAATCCAAGGGGTGGAACTTCGGCATATTCTTCATCTGGTTGATCGTTGGTACTTGTGGAAGTTGCTTGATCCATATTCTCAAAGACTCTTTTTGATGGGGAACTCAACTTAGAGTCCTGAAAGTTTTCGTCTTGATTTGCCTCCACGATTTGTCCGTTTTGGTTCTCCGAAAAATATGGCATCTCTTGTTCTTTTTCATTAATTAGCGAAGAATCAGTATCCAAATTCGATCTAATGGTGCAACTTCTCTGCTGGCCTGTAAATATCATATTCTGAGGGAGACCGCGAGAAGAAGGCAACATACCCGAATAATCTCGTGGTACATTTGGGTCCATCCAATGATTGAAATTCTGTTGTTGTTGTTTTTGGTTTTGTGGAGTCCACATTTGAAAATCGGTGTCTGAGTCATTCATCGATAATGCTGGTGAGAAATGTTGTTGTTCATAGCCATCATGTGAACTATATCGATTGTCCTGATGATTCATTGTGTTAGATGTATTCTGCCAGTTCATTGGGATCTGATTGGAGTTTGATGTATCGCAAAACATCAATGGAACAACAGAATGATAATCTGAAGTTGGGAACATTTTGAATATCCTGAAATAAGAGCACGCTTACTTTTGAAAAAACGTCATTAGAGTGTAATCAACGAATCAAAGGAGTTTAAAAAATCATGTGGCGGAATAATAAATCAGTAGAGCGTGAGCAAGTGATAACAAGCATAAATCTTCTTTTGTTCAAAAGAGGGGAAACATAAAAAGTCTCACCTTCAACAAAACGAGACACAACAACACTGAGCAATGAAAATGATTGGAGAGAATTAGAGAAGCGAGTGTCAAGAAGGACATGCAGTAAGTGAAAATAAGAGGTTGTCAAGGAGTATGCAGACAAGAAATCAAAAATTTTCTCACCTTTTTTTAGAGTGTGATATCTTTTTACTTTTACTTTTCACCCGATATCTCCGTCTTCAGAAAAGACGATGGTACTTTTATTAATTTAACAGACTTATTGGAAGCATTTTTTCAAAAATAATGATTATTTTGAAGATGGGAGACAGGAGAAGGTCCTCAACAATTTTTCAACCTTAGGTTTAGCTGAGAACTGTCTTAGAAAAGAAAACAAATACTGGGCTATTGCGAAATATTCTAGCGGCGTCATTCAAAAAAGTGATCCGCCCTCTTTTTCCAATATTTTTCTTTTGCACCCCAGTATACTGTTCTTCCCCACGTTGCCTACGCAATTTTCAGATAAACGAGTATAGTACATCTGTTGATTGGATCTAATTTTCTAACATATCCGGAAACTTTCATCAAAATCTGGGTGTACAAGGTTTGAGATTACCTAATGCTTAAAGTTTAAAATCTACAGTAGCAAGTTTAAAATCTACACTGAATTCTGGAAAAAAATAAACCAATCATTGGTAGAGGTAGCCTTACGAGGATTCTTGATTTTTTATGATATCAATTTCGATAAGATATTTTCAAAAATGATTTCAGTTTAAATCTCGCTATTCAGAAATTTCCAAACCGAAAAGTTTGTTTTTCGAATATTATCCACATGTTGTACTTTTAATGTCAAACAACTATACGCTCTCTTTCACGGTGATATCTGGAAAAATGAAAGACTAAAATTACGGAAACGCAGGAATTTCGAATGAAATTGGTTACTAGACAATGACTCAAAAGCTAAGAGGATTTTTTGAAAGTACAAATTCCCTTAGAAAAAAAGAAAACTCGTCCAAGAAATCATTTTTGAGAAGAAATATGTTTTTTTCTCTATAGACCAAAAATGAAACACTTACCTGTGTATTATTCAATGAGATTAAGATTTGCCCGCTAATTCTTTGAGGGCATTTTCGCACATTTTTCTACATGGGCACCTTGTGCGACTCTCACAATTTCTAATTTGCTTTGTTTTTAATCCGCCAGTCATCTTGATTTTAGTCCGCTTTTCTGCTTATCCTTTTCACGAATCAATACATTTTTCATATAACGTTTGATAGATTTAGATTTTCAATTTCAATAAAATCAGAAGCCTCGAAAATGTTCTATCAATATGGCAATTTTGTTCCTAGTCAATCAGAGTAACATTTGTACTTTTGATTTTTTTTCTGATTCTTTTCACAACCAAGAATCGTAACATTTCGGTTAGAAATTTTTCTACATCTTATTTCTGATCTCTCTTACTCGCTCTTTCTCCAACTTTCATTTTTTTTAAATATACATACGTAAGAATTCAATGTTCAATTTTGTTCTGTCTTTTGAGCCATTTTGTCTATTCGAGATTTTAGAAAAATTCCACCTAACTTTTAATTTTATCTTCTTCCGCTCAAATAAATTTTCAAAAAATATCTTCTATTTCTGATAGCTTAAAATCAGTAAATCACATTTTCGTTACATCTCTTCTATCAACAAAACAAATAAGACTTTCTCAACGTGTTTCGAATTTCACAAATTCCCGATTTTGACCTTAATCCGCTTTTGTCAAGCTCAGATTCTCGCACATATTATTTGTGATGAGAAACTAGTCTTTTCGTAGGAAATTCTTGTTTGGAAAATTGTTGAAAATTGAGCTATATTCTGTTAACAACAGTCAGAATCGAAGAAAATGAGTAGGATAATTTTTAGGTGTTTTTAAGGTTTTCAATATTTTCTTCGAGTCAATCATTTTTCAAAAATTGGTTATTTTCAGGTTGACATGGCTCAACCAGCAAACACTGGGCAATTGGTTCGCCTGAACTGCACCCCGCATCGCATCGTAAGAGAATTGCTTCCTTCTTCACCTCAATTCACCAATTTCAGGCTCACTACAGAGAAGGTCTCCGTCAGCTTCAGTACCAAATCTTCTTGACGGTACACAGAAATAGTTAAATGTATAGATGATCAACCTCACATTTTCAGTACGCAGACCGTCGTGATCAAACTGTGTTCCTCCAGTATCAATACGCGAACTTCCTCTTAATGTACGCCACCTGGAAGATCTCCCAAGAACCATGGTCGCAGGAAGCGCAGAACAACTTGGCAGCCATCCGAGAGCAATCAGTGAGACTCGAAAACTACTTCTTCAACACCTACACTCTCCGTGATGTTCTTCGAGCATAATAATCAATAAACGATGTCTATTAACACTCTCATTAAACACATGTCAAAATTCAACAAAATTCTCGAAAAAATTTAAGACACATTCTCTGACAGAACCAAAAATAGTGCTGTACAGAAAAATTCAAACTTGTTTTTTCTGGCTGATTTTTCATATATTGCATGTTTATGGATTTTTAAGGTATATGAGATATAGTTTGTCCCGACATGTCTCACACCTGCAAAAATATGGTCGTGGGGTGTCTAAAAAATTTTTTTTCAAAAGTGAAATAATGATTAGGTCTTATCGTAGAACGTTTTTAGGCACTATTTTGAACATTTTTTTTATTGGCTCTATTTTTATATTCTTCCACCTCCCCTGGAAAAATTTCACTTTTTTGCAAAAAAGCTATTTTTTGGACTAAAAAATGATCGTCCTGAAAAAAATGTCCATTATTTTATAAAATTAAACATAAAATTCAGATTTTACATTTAAAAATACATTAGAAACTGTTGTGAAATAAAAGATAAACCTGAGCCTCCTATGAGTTTTAGGTCGAAACGTGCCTAAAAATGAGGTTTCACCATGTGGGGGAGTACATGGCAACAAAAAGTCTACCAAAATCGACCCTCTCCGATTTTATTCAAATTTTTAACAGATGTAGTATTTTTAATGGGTAGTCTTCTGGCAAAGTTTCAAAATCCGTGCTCATCGTCTTCGTGCTTTTGCAGAAGCACCAAAAAAGCGACAAAAATTGCTTCCAAGTCCATTTTCAATGAAAAAATACGAGCTCCAGAAATACACGATGACGATGAGAACAAAATCTGAAACTTTGCCAGAATACTAACCATCAAAAAATTACATCTGGTGAAAATTTGAACAAAATCGGAGAGGGTCGATTTTGGTCGAATTTTTGTTGCCAGGACATGTCGGGACAAACAATATCTCATATACCTTAGAAATCCATAAACATGCAATATATGAAAAACCAGCCAGAAAAAACAATTTTTAATTTTTCTGTACAGTGGATAATAGGCCTGAAGTTGAGTTCTACAGAGAACGTGTCTTAACTGATATGTTTCTTATTTTTCAACCATAGAAATTACTGTGCTTTATAAAAAGTTGTGAACTCTGCAGAGATTCGAACAGTGGTTTGATGCCAACATTGATACCAATAACGTCTTTTCCAACTGTCGCAGTAGGTTGTTGTGTATCTCCGTCGGTACTATCATTTCAATACATTAGTCAGAAGTTCAAATGTGTTAAAAAGGCTGGTCTTGGGCTCCATTCTCGAAAAAAACTATAGCTGACAAATAAAAAGTGAACATGAGATTTCCATACTTTCAGAAGATTAAAATTTTGGAAAAACTTCAAAGATGATGACAAAATTCTCTAATGGAAGTTTACCCATACGATCAAATTTAAATGTAAGCTTAATTATTTTGATTCCTGTAGAAGATATCAAACATTTGTCAACTGATGAATTATTTTTCATACTATCACCATATTTCATCAGTTGACAATTTTTCGATATCTCTCACAAATCTCGAAATAATTCCAATAAAAGATAACGGTTCGGATGTTCTTCTATTAGAGAATATACAGCAATTGCGGCCAGATTGCAAAAGTATGGCTGAGTTTATAAAAGGAGAAAACAATTGCATAAATCGTGCTTGTTTGAAATCCCCTTCTCTGTAAAACCATTCGGTTGGATTGTTGGTATTTTTCGAAATTTCAGTAACTCATTTCCCCTCCCAGTGAGTGGTTTCCGTTGCGACTTCTCAACACGGCACGAGTCTTCTGTATGAGAGAATTCCATTAAAATCAAATATATTTAATCAGGTAATATTTTTCTCAGACATTTCTTTTTTTTTCTTGTTTCCAATTTTGAATCCACACTCTCTCAAAATAGAAGAACAAACCAAAAATGTTCAAATGACTCCCACAATAAAATATTTTATGAATGCTATCCGGTATAATCGGAGCAATTTTACATGTTTCGTGTAAACCTTGCTCTAAAATGATTTTGACATCTTCCAAGACTAAAAGATGCCAAAACTTTCGAAAACATGCTAAACCATGTACTTTTGGTATACTAATTACTTGTTGCGATAAAGTATATAAACCTTTTCAAACTCTCAAAACATTCTTTTCTCGCAAATTTTCTCGTTTCTTTTCCCAGGAAACAACTGCACTTGTCAAAGCGTTGCGAATAAATGGAGGCGACACTTATTGTTCTGATCGAGCAAATTTTTCAGTAATCTCCTTCAGAAAATACATTTTCTCTCATATCTCTAAATATCAAGAGGGCCCCCATTTGCAACCAAATTTCCTGTTGTATATGATCTTTTCAATGAATTTAAAGTACATTTTTACTCTTTGAATCCGGTGAAGCGAATAAGCTTTCTTAAAACATGTGTACATGTCCTTTTTGTGATCATAGCGGCTTTAGTCTAGCTTCAAAGATAAAATCTACACATTTCATTATCACCTAACGAGCTTCGAAGGGACAGAAGTGTTTGCTCAGTTTCCAACCTTTACCATAAAAATCAACTTTTCTTTTAGTGTGCGCAAGGGTTGCACATTTTATTACCCAGTTCGGAGACGACGGACAGACCATCATTTCGTTCTTTTTTTGTCCACATCATGTAGGTGCATCTGTGACCCTTTCACTCTTTTTCCAAATGAAACAAGAGTTGGGTTTCCACAGCTGTCATCACGGTTCAATTTCCTTGCTCTTCTAGGCCTGACACACTTAATTTTGGTCATCCGCGGACTACGCCACCAATTTATCTTCGGCACTGAATAACCGAGAAAAGACGCGATTTTTCAATCTCGCTTCCATTTTCCATAGTGTAGAAAGAACATCACTCACTTTCTGACGAGTCAAAGCATCTCAATTTTGTCGACTCGCAACCGTGAGAATACTTCTCTCTCAACATACATTTTTGCCAGAAAAAAAAAGCCACGTTGCCTTTTTACACATACACTTGTTCATTCACACTTCTTCTCCTCTTTTTCTCAATCATTTATCCCCTGCACATGTATGTACTAAGCCAGTAGATCAGCCAGTACTTTCTCTATGACATTCTCTTTATTTGCATTTTCTGTGTTGGAGGTGTATTGATTGTAGTCTAATCGCTTGAATCGGTTTTTCTTCAGACTAGCAATGGAAGCTTCGATGTTCGATCTGAAACACTTGGAGCTCATTTTCGGAACCAAGACCAACTTTCCAGAGTTCCAAATCGTGAGTAGCTAGATTTTCATTCCTAATTTTAATCAATTTGTTTTCAGAACAAGACTCGTATGAACATCCAGCGTCTCACTCTCATCCGCAACACTGCTGTAATTTTACAATCGTACCCTTCAGCTCATTTCTAGATTTTCAGGTCCAATGTGGCGCCACTGCTCTCTATCTCAACAAGTTGGACCGACTTATTGAGCTCAACTGCACCATAATCCGACTTGGAGGCCAACCACTTTGCCATGCCGATCTCGTTGTTATGTGGCAGACTGTCATGGAAATCCGCGGAATCGAGGCTCTTCTCGAAGGATTCTGCTAGGCTATTTGTTCTGTTAATTTATTTTTCAAAGATTTGGACTCAAATGAATTGTTGGACTCCGAGCTCATGTTTTAGAACAGTTTTTGGTGTGTCTCGACGATTGATCATCTTTGACATCTTGTTTTTTTTAAGTAGAACACTTTTTATGCATTTGAACTATGTGCACAAGAAGAAAAAGTGGGCAGGTGGCAAAAAGTGCGCTTTCTTTCTTCAGGAATTTTTTCTCCATAGGAAATAGAATAGGCAAAATTATAAAGAGGATTTAAGACATTTTCTTAGATTAGAGGATTTCTAAGTTTAGAGGGGGTTTAGAGGGGGGGGGGGGCAAGTTATTATGAATGTGAACTCTTACGATGAAGAGGTTATATTCGATTATAAGCATACATGAAGGAATATTCGGAAATTTTGTCAAACATTTTTTTGCGACCATATCCAAAAGAAAATTTTTGCGACCATCGTCCAAAAAAAAAGATCCGCATTTTTTAAGCTTATTAGATTACAAAAAAATTGTCACATCCACAAATGTTCCTCGAACCTGCGACCCTAGATTGGCAAGATAATGCCACAACGCACTCTTTTACCTTTTCCTTTCAATGCGTAAATTTTTTTTTCCTTTCAATGCGTGAATTTTTTTGTTTTCGTACATTACTAGTCCGCAGCTATCATTCGCGACCATTTTGCGAGCTCCAAGCTCATTCGTATTCGCATAAATAAATTTCGGATTTTTTTATTTTTACTACTGATTTTGCGTTTCGGAAATGCGTTTTTTACGAAATTCAGTTTTGGTAGAAAGAATTGAGATATATGCTCGCATTTTTTGTAAACCTGATCCATTTTCGATTATAAATCGTTTGGACTCAATTTGCCACTTCGATTCAGCCTCGGTCATATAGTTTTTTATCGTCTTCTGTTGGGCTATTGTAAGAAATTCCGAAATTCAGTTTCGGTAGAAAGAATTGAGATATATGCTCGCATTTTTTGCAAACCTGATTTATTTTCAATTTTAAATCGTTTGGAATCAATTCGCCACCTCGATTCATCCTCGATCATAGAGTTTTTCATCATCTTCTGTCGGGTTACTGTAGCTAACGCCGAAGTTCAATTTCGGCGTTTAAAATCGATCATGGAGTTTTCGTCAGCTTTTGTTGGGTTACTGTACATTATATAATGCAGCATTTTTAAATTAGATATTTCAACTCGCATTTTTTTTTGAAAAAGTGTTCAATTTTTTATTTTGAATCTTTCGAAACTGAATTGCGACCTCCACGTCTGCGTCTTACAGATTTTTTCACTCCCCGTCGGGCTACTGTCCATTATTAAAATCCTATTTTCGACTTTATTGCCGATATTGAGAAGTCAATTTTCAGCAATACCACTTTTGTCAAAAGTACATAATCGAATTTTTCAACTTTTTAGAAAATAATAATGAAAATTTTTCTTTGGATTTCCGAATCACTTTGCGACCATATGCCACTCAACAGAAATCCGCGACCACAAATTTCCGAAATGTCTTCATGTATGATTATAAGACTATATTCAGCTCGAAATCAGCCGAAGGGGTTTTGAAAAGTTATTGAAAAAAAAATCCCGTATAAATTTGATTGAATACTTTTCTGAGAAAAAATTTGTGTTGTTATTTTATTGGTCATAAAAAATAGTTTAGAAAATGTCAATTTTACTATTTTTCGCTTTTTCAGAGAATGTTTCTTAAGTGTTACAACTTTTCTCAATGACTATAAAAAGTATTTGAGTTTTGAACTTGTTTTTACTGAATTCTCGGGATTTCAAAATTTCAAAAGCCAGTTAAAATTTTATTTTGATGATTACCATTTTCTGAAATTGTAGCTCTTGAAAATCTGAAAGCGCAATTTCAAAAAAGTAAGAAAGTACATTTTAGATCCCAAGTGAAAAAAAGTCTATCTTTAGACACTACCAGACATGCACTACTTTTCACCTCGACTCTTATCGGTGTCAGTCTCATTACTTGCCAAATTTACTACATTGCTCTTTATGAGCTCTTTTTTTATAGAAAAAAGGGAGAGGGGGAAGAATACATGTGTTTTTTATTTTTTTTTTAAGTCACAATTTATAAAGTTCATTAGAAAAAAGGTACTTTCAAAAGTTGAAGATGAATATAGAGAAAATAACTACATAGTCTCGGCAAGCATACGTATTAGTACTCCAGCAAAGAAACAGTTCAAATCATGAGAAACTATGAGGAAAAGTTAGTTAAACCGGAATATTGTACAATGCACAGATTTTGTTCATTATTAACCTTATTTGAATTTGGTCTGTGGGGGTGCAAGGCAGATCAGCTAGCCACAGCAATAACTGGAAGTTTTGCCTCAACGTGGTCAAAACATCAAGAACTTCGCAAAAATTCTTCCCTTCTGGTGGCCGTCCATACTGAAAAATGGTTCAACGGTAAGTAAACAAAACTTCCAAAAGAAAATTCACCATAGACTCAATCTCTCTGTCGTATCGCAAATAAAAATCTTTTATGATGTCCTGTAAACTTATTTTCTCAAAAACTTCAAATGATTTTTTTACTCTGATTGGTGCAATGATGTTGGGAACGGGTTGCATGGTGTACTTGGATTTTAAATTGGATCTTAAATTTTCTATTAAATATTTAATGATCAATACAAGAAGGTCAAAACTAAAAGAACTAAAAATGAATAGTAAAAACAATAGAGTTGTATGCGAACTGACTGATAACAAAGCCAAAATTGAAAAAAAAATATCAGTTGTTCATGGATGTGAAAAAAATGAGAGGGCGCTGTTATCATCAATGGAAATTGACATGTCCAGTTTTTTTTTCGGAAAATGCGTATTTTCTTCTCTTTTCTCATGGAACTCGCACACAAAGAACGACGTTTTTAAAGTCACATGTTTTAAGGTTTTTGAGAGATGGTTATTTAGCGGAATTGATGAAAACATCTAGTTCCATAATAAATAGGAGCTATTTTTCACAAGGCTGAAGTTGTGTTAATTCACTTGATTCAAAAAAAAAATTAAATAAATTAGTGGAATTCCAAAATGAAGTTTATATTCTTACGAGATCCCAACCACGCGCTACATTTACATTTGAGGGGGTAAATCCTGCAACTATACGAACACAATTCTTGAGAAATTGTAGCGTATTTTTACGAATTCTTCCGAAAACACATTAAAAACTTATGGACAACTTGATGTTATTTCCGAGCAATCATAGTTTAACAATTGAACAAAAACAAGGATTTCGGAAATTCAGTTGAACCTTGCATATCTAATGGAAAAATAATCAAACAAAAGTCGAAATTCTTAACAATGGCTTGCTGCTGAATCAATTCTTAATAATTACATTCACAAATGTTTTTGTCCTGCCGACTAACACAATTTTTTTAGTGATCTCTGTTTTTAGCTCGAATAGCAAAATAATTCTGATTTTTTTCTCAAAAACGTGAACGGTTCAATAGAAGATCAAATACGTGCACTTTGAGCTCAATTATCACAGTTTCTTTTAGAGATATCAAACGTTTGCCAGCCAATAAAAATTTGATGATAGTCTAATAAAGATTAATTATAGTTGACCAAATATTGATATTTCGCATAAGTACTGATATAGTTAAGCTGAAAGTGTCCGTAAAGGGTGGGCTTCATTATTCGGGTATTCTTTTCAAATTCTTACAAAAATAACCATTCTGTCAGGATCATGTCATTTCTTGTTATAAGACTCGCAACATATTTTTTGAGTAATCAGATTTGTGAATATGCGAATATTCGCTTCTGTTCGGAGGAAGATTGCATACAGGGTGGCTTTTAACTACCAGTACATGTTTGAAAGAGGTTTTCTCGAAAAGTAAAAGCCGAAAACTGATGAAACTTAACGATATTTCATATTGGGCGTACAAAAGTTATAATCAAAAATAATTTTTTGATTCGGTCATCGTTCGCCTCCGTTACGGTCTGAAGACGACTTTGGTAGGCATCGATGGTGGCACGGTCGAAAGTTTGCCCCATTTCTGAAGCAGTGTCTTTTCCAGCGCCTTGAAACTTGAATGGGACCTTGAGTAAATCTTGTTTTGCATAACTCCACATGGAATAGTCAAACGGGGTCAAATCCGGTAAGTAGGACGGTCATTCTTCCCCTCAGGCAGGTGCCCTTTGAACCACTACTGGGTGCGTTTGGCGGTGTAGGCTGAAGCTCCGTCCTGTTGGTGGATCAAATGTTCCCGTCCAAATTGGGATTTGGTCCATAGGAGCAGATACTTCTCAAAAATTCTCTCGATATACACTTTCTTGGTCATACAGACGTCTTGATCTGTGAAATTTGAAATTTGAGCATATCGCACCGAAAACCATCGTGCCGGCCGGGTGTGAAACTCTAGGAATGGTTTTTTCTTTCTCAAAATGTTCCTTGGCATCCTTGGCTTACATACAATAATTTTGAAAGTTGCATTCTGCTTCAATCGTGAACCAGTGCGCGCCAAAGAAAACGGGCCCCAAACGGTCTCTTCACTGCGTGCCATCCAGAGGAAGTTTAGCCTTCTCCAGACGCTATTGTTCATTGCTCTCCGACAAGATGACGGATTTTGAGACGCAATAGCAATTTAGATGAAGCTTTTTTCGGGCTATCTTGAAGATTAGAAACCAATAGATACCCATACTCGTGGCCAATTTCCTAACCGATTTATGTAGATTACCCCTCGTTTGACCTCGAACAGCTTCAACCTTCTCTGGAGTTGTACCATAGTTTTCCTTCTTTTCCCAATGTGATCAAATAGAGATCCAGACTCGGTAAACCTTTTGATAACTTCAAAATACCATTTCAATGCGTTTAATGATCTTGTTTAGACTAACGCCGTACTTATAAAGGCTGATGACAATCGCATGGTGAACGTTAGGTCTCGCCATTTAGCTGAAACCCAATCATTAGATCTGAAACTTGGCAGAAATATTGACTATAAATCAATAAATCAATTTACGAAATTTGATAAGCCTATTGCGGACCAGCAACGAGAACCATGGCGCCAAAGTTGTGTCCCGGTAATTAAAAGCCACCATGTAGCTCCTCCGAACAGAAGCGAATATTCGAACGTCCACGCGAACGGAACAGTGAAAAAATAAAAATTTATGCGATTAACTATACGCTCTAAATATAAAATTGTTCTGAAAAACTGAAATTGTTCGAAAATTTTTGAAAAAATTGTTTGTATATCATTAACCTTTTTGTTCTGCTTTAGATTTCCTACTGTAAACTCTCTTCTTGGGTGTATTCCAATTGTATTTTGATCCTTAGAATACTAATAATTCAATTGCTTATAGCTGTGGTTTTAAAATATCAACCAATAATGTGCTTAGAAACCGTTGTCTGGTTTTTTTATCAAACATTTAAATTTATTTCAATAAATTTTCATAGAGCATGTGCTTTTCACATTCAATTATAATTACTCGTAACATTTAATACCTTCTGATGATCGTGGTATCAAGGGACAGTCAGGTGTACGCACTATTCTCTTTTTTCCAGACAGAAGTTGAAGTCAAAATCGGTAGACACTGGTCACTCGATTTTCAGTTTTCTCATTCATACAATATCGCCGTTTTTTTCTTTTGTCAACTAAACGATTATACAAGCTATATAAGATACGAAAATTCTTGATCAGAAGATAGTCAGTTAGAATTCAGGCAGTCCAATCATTCTATTCGACTTTTTCTTTCAATTTCTTCTGATTCAAAAAAAATGCCGACTCGTCGAGTTTCTCGTAGACGAGCGAATCGAAATACTATGACTATTCGGGAGTTCAATGAGTGTCGTCGAAATTTGACTTTTGAACAATGCGTGAGTCACAAATATAGTTTCTCAGTTTTCGGAAACAAAATTTCTCACTTAGGATATCATTCAATGGTCCCGACGGTCCACACGTATCATGATGCACCTAATGGTAATTTAAATTTCGACATGTTAAAACATTTGAAAAATGCTTGTTCAAGATGACATGGGGTGTCTACCTACACAGTCCACTGTTCCATGCTCACCGCCAGCGTCATGAAATTCTACGTGTATTTCTGAGACTTGGAGTAAGACCATACGCCGATGCTGATCAAGTTCTCTTCAACTACCTTACGATTTGGCTCCAACAATCATGGCGGCGGTGCGAAATTGAATTGGCGAGGCTCTGAAGAGATGAGAACTATTTTTTTCGAAAAAAATTACATTTTTTCTGTTGCGATCTCATTAATCACAATCCCAAACTTTTTCTAAAATGAAAACTTTTGAATCTTTGTTTTTTTTTTCAAAAAGAGAGAGGAAAAGAGAAAAAGGTGCAAAGACTGGCTGTCATTTTACCGGGCATTTCCTATCACGGTGGTCTTCTACTAGAATTTTCTATCGAATACAAAATTTTTTGTATTAAATCTGTCTGTTTACCGGGGTTCTGAATTTTCTGATTTTTGAAGCGGTTCCAATGGAGTTTTGAAAAAATTGAAATTCTCTCCTTTCAATAAATAAAATCCCGAGGTTTAGTTATATACAGTACCGGTTGATAAGATAGAGACAAGAAAATTAATTTTGCAGTTGATTTTCTGCCCTTTTTGCCATTTTCAGACCGTTTTTGTACTGAAAAAAACAAGTGTCTTTAAGAAATCGGCAAATAGCTGAAAAATAGGAGCTTTCTAAAAATTCTGTGGATGCAAAGTTTTTAATCCAGGTCTGTTTCACACTTTTCAAAGTTTTCGAATGGATTGGAAGTTGACAGCTAAGCTACACGGTCTTCCGAAAACGGCTAAAATTCAGCTGAAAAATACGTTTTGGTAAATATTATGGACCGGTACTGTATATGGTTTTTCAGTTTCCTGCATTTTAGTCCGAAGTCTTTCAGAGTCTATTTTAAACCTTCTTGAAACTCGTGAGACATCAAAAAGTCGGCCCACGATCCAAGGGTACATCGAAAAAGGGTACATCGAGGGTACATCGAGTTTTTAGGGTACATTGGTTCTGAGGGTACATGGGATCTTAGACTGTAAGGCGTTTAGC